CTGTCGTTAAGTTCCCACCCCCTTGTCGCGACATAGTCGCTCCCTCGCACGCCGCGATTTCGCAGCCGCGGCTGTTTCTCGAGAAGAGCGAGAAGCTGCATTCTCGGGGCGGACGTCCGGCCGGCCAACCCCGGTCGGGATTTAAATTCTCGCCGAAGGATAAAAAATTATGAAAATCCGCGGGCGCGCCGAGACGTATACACCTGCCGCCTGGGTTCGCAGGAGTTTTCCGCGACGCGGGTTGGCGGGGGGAGCAGCGGCGGCGGCGGCGGCGGACAGATTAAGCTTAGGAGGGAGATTTATGGGCGAGCGTGTAACGAGCAACTTTTTCATGGGATGCGCACGCCGGGGTTAGCCTCCGGGGGTGGGATTAGCATAAGATCCAGCAGCTGCAGACCGCGCGCGTCGAGGTCCCCGTCCGCTCCTACACGCGTCGCTCTCCCCTGAGTTTTATTCCGCGCAAAAAAGAAGACTCCCCCACCCTCCGCTTCCGTCGCTGCCGCCGCCGTTGCCTCTGACTTGACCCGGGATGTCGTTCTTTCCCGCGATGTCTCGTCAGAGATGCGTGATCGCTTAATCGAGACCCCGCAATTTAGTCCACTACTTTTGCTGCAAACGCAAAATGTCGAATTTTTTTTCCCTCTCTCTCTCTCTCTCTCTCTCTCTCTTTCTTCCTTTCTGTCTTTATCGTTGACAAGAAATTCGTTGAAACTTATACAAAACACACACACACACACACACACATATTAATGGTAATAGGTATACATTTAACTATACGTGCCGGTCAGGGGAGCACCGGGTGCACTTCAAATGCGTTTTGGTTTTAGCATAATTGCTCGTAAAGGCCCGGTGTAATACGTCGATTACGCCGCTCTACGCCACGGCTACTGACACCGCGCATCAATCGTATATCCCTGAATATTCAATTAAGTACACCGTCTTGCCCCTCTGACCGCTCTGTCTTCCTTCATTTTTCTCCCTCCCCCTACCTGCCATACATCTCGCTCTTCCGCAATTATTCTCCGACTCGCATCGATCCGCGGCTCCGATCGTCGGTCGCGCCGCAATTCGCCGTCGTTCGCTATTAAATCGATATATCTTGCCACGGCAATAATTAGGAGAAGTTCCACGCGCGAGACTCCGTTTCGCAAAGAAGCGAGATTTGTATTATCAAATAATAGTCGAGAACTGTAAATTACCTTCTTTGTTAATTAGTGCCTTATACAAATTAAAAACAAAGGAATAATCGCTAGATCCATTAGATATTGATAGAATCTCACAGAGATTATATTGTGCAATATCTCCTCAATAAGTAAATTTACATATGTGTTATGATTATATTATTATTGTAGACTTGCGAGATGTTAATGTGTGTCTTACTACGAGTATTGTATTATACTCAAATGTATGTATGATAATGTTTCGATTTTAATAAGTATAATACAAATGCGTATTAATCTAAATTATTGCGACAATAATAAGTTTTCTCCCCCGCTTGAAAAATAAATTATTAGAAATAATACGAAACGTGTTCTTTGAAGAGGGATGCTTCAATTATTGCCTCGGTGGATTTAACGAGTATTTCTCGCGACAGCAGCAGTCGCGCACCTTTCCGAGGCGACTGTCGCTGAAGGTCTGGACCGACAGAGAGACTGCGCCACGGCCATACGGGCCGCCTCGGACCTCCTAAGGTCGGATATTAATGAGAGGATATAGAGACGGCCACCTCACACCACTCCGGATCTCGGCAGCAGACTCACGGATCGTCTCTGATGGAGAGAGGTTACCGAGAGGCCTCCACCACCTCCTCCTCCTCCTCCTCCTCCTCTTCCTCCTCCTCCCACCTCCACCTCGTGAGATGAGAGCCGAAGAGAAGCACCGGCACAGAGGAGGAGTACGAGGTAGGGAGTACCAGGGAGGGTCTCCACCCTACGACGAGATCGTGGAGGGAGGACGTCGTCGGGTTACGAGAAGACGAGAGAAAGATGAAGGAGAAAGAGAGAGAAAGGGATAAGCGAGGGAGGTAAGAGGTAGGGAGGAAGAGAGAGGGACACGGAACGAGAGACAGAGGGAAGATAAAGGGGTGAGGGAGGGAGATGGTGGAGGACGAGGACGAGGACGACCAGGAGGAAACGGAGGTCGGGTGGCTCGGGTGAGAGAGAGGGGGCGAAAAAGGTGCGAGAGAGAGAGAGAGAGAGAGACATACTGAAAGAGAAAGAGAGAGAGAGAGAGGGAGAGGGAGGACGAGATCTGGACCCCGCGTAGGAGACGTTCAATACTGTAGCAACGACGCCGAGGCAGCGCCATTGGCTACCATTTTCTCTCTATACCTTCTAGGCATACACCTTGTACTCTATTCCGGTCTACTCCACTTTATTCCCGCTTCGCTTCCATGCCCTCTCTCTGTTTCCCACTTCCTTCCCCTCCTCGTCCCTCTTCCTCGTTGTGCTCTCTCGCGTCGTTCGCGAGGACGGAATATACTGGGACCGAGACGAGAAAAGCCTTTTTCTTCGTCTTTCCGCTGAATTCGTCAGGATCGAACGCAAACCAGAACGTTTCTTTTTTCCAGAAATGAGACGCATTATTCGTTTTGAATCAAATCGTATAAGATTGATAAAAAATATTTTTTCCTTCGTCTCATATTTTATAGTAAAAAATTTTATATTTTGTTTCACGTATGTATAATTTATTTAAGAATTATATGTATAGTAAAAAAAAATTCCTGATCAAAATTAGACACTGATCACACAAACTATATAGATTTTGCAGAGTACACAAAAATGTTTCTATTTATAAATTTCATAGATCTTGATAATAATCATTCAATATATCTATTCATTTTGATTTCAAACTGCAACGTGATGACACCATGTATGATATTTCTACTCGACTAATCCTTTTTCTTGCTTTAGTTTTCTATACATTATCTATAGTTATACATATATGTACATATTTAAAAAATATATATATATGTATTAAAGAAATTATTTAAATATTGAGTTACAGTTATTTATTCATATAACTAAAATACTCCACAACTCTAGATGGTTTGAGGATAGCGCCAGCGCTTACTTCGAGATCACTTAGAGTTCCACCCAATTAAACTCCTCTATGTGCGTACGAGCACGCAATAATATCTATATTCACTTCCACTTCGCGCCTCCGTAATTTTCACGTCTTGCCCTGTCGTTTGCTGCTGTAACAATAACGCGTATTCTAATTCTTATCCTAATCCCTATTCTCACGCATCAAAAGATTCTGTACATATATATTTCTGAATCTTCTAGATTTTTATATTCCCACAACATACCATCGTTATGCGATAAAAATTTTTTACATTCTTGTTTTCAAGAGAGAGAGAGAGAGAGAGAGAGAAAGTGTGCGTTCATTTCTTATCACAGCGAATGCGTAACTTAACATTTGAAAAATCAGTCCTGATGATGTGAAGTACCATCGGTTACAATAACTTTTCAAGTTTCTGTGGCAGAAACAAAATATTGGAAAACGAGGAGGAAAGAAAAAACAAGATACCGCTTGTTTTCCGCTAAAATGAAGATAAAAAGATAAAAAGATATTCGTAGAAGTAGATGTATCCAGGAGAGATCCAAATGCCACTGCCGTAATCGACCGCCCCGTGCCCGTGAAGTGCACTCTTTCCCAACCGCCGGATATATATTTTTTTCATTTTGTCAAATAATTAACGGACGTTACTCGCGCGCGAGTGAACAACGCGCGTACCGCACTTTTGCCAGGTAATACTGCCGCGGCTGCGTTGATATCCCGCGGGAATGGAAATAGTTGTAATTTTAATTAACCCGATGATTACGCCGTGCACTCTCGCCGGGCATCGGTGTACACGGCGGACGGTAATTTTGTTGTATATACAGTAGATAAATATACGCGATCGCTGTGCCGTACTAAACAATGCACTCCTGTGATAGTCCTCTTGAATGCACCGTTAATATATGCCATCATCCGAGTTCTGAGAAGCAAAATATCTTTTTTATAACGTGTTGCCTTCCGTTCACCATACTCGCTTGTATTTGCGTTAATCTTTTCTCTCTTCATATATTTTTTTTTTACAGTAACTATATCTGAAGATTTTTAATTAATTCAAAATTTTCAAATGCGTGAAAATTCAAGGGCAATCAAACGAATTCATGTCCCTTCAAAATTAAAGTAATCAAAGATTTACTTCCACAGAAACGCAACTGCTCGAGCAGTCACATAATGATTACCATATTAAATCTCCGTTCCTTTTTTTAATCATCAAACGTTCCTGTTTATTTGCGGTCTAATCAGAGTGCAACTAATCTCGTTGCTATTTACAACGCGCCCCTGATAACGCTTTTCGGGCAAATCGCCGCAACTGCATCGCGAGCCCCGGGGCGGCCCTCCTTATACCGCCGCGGAGCAATCACGCAAATTAGCGTAATTCACATATAAAACTTTCTCTGTCTTTCTCTCTCCCATGCGTTACGCACGGTCCCCTCGCGGCCGGGTCCGCAGCCTCACGCAGTTTTCTGCAGATCTTAACGGCACGGATCTCGTAACGTGACTCGATAATTACCGCAATCACGGGGAGCGCCCTTTCGTTATTCCGGCCATATGCCGCGCGGTCGACCGGTACACCCCGGAGGTACGAAGGGCCCCCCGAACTACCGACTGTAAAACTTCCTCCCCGAATGGCGCGTTACTTCTTTTTTTTCCCCCGGTTCTCCCCGCGAGCGGATTCGCGAGGGAATCTTCCCTCGAGGTGCCCCCAAAAACGGATTTCTCCGCGGAGACGGCGCCTGTCCGATTCCGTGCTTGTCAATTGAAGCCTTCGAACCGTCTCACGGAGAAAAAAAAGGTACGCACCGGCAAGGCTGCAGATTACCTCCCCGAAATGAGTCTGGTATTTACGACAGCATCTTTTCGTCTTGTTATACGAACTCTTGCGTACAAGAATCGCGAGTGAACCCGCTTTACTGTGCAATGATAAAAAGAGGGAAGTTTCGTTTTTTGATTGATATAAAATATATTTTATTTAGCAAACGTTAACTGACGCAACAAAGCTCTTATAAAAAAATAAGATTGGCGCATGAAACATGCGTTATCTTGACATCATTTCCAATCTATAATCATACAAAGTATAAGGCATCTGAATTTATTAATCGGGAAACTTTCGCGGTTTTTGACTGAATTGCAATTTTCAATCAGATAAAATAGAATATTACGAATATTTCAATACTAGTTTAATTGGATTCAAACGAATACCCTAGTCGCGTCATTTTCGAAAAAACTTACAAACTTCTTGAAACTTTAAACAAATAGAATTTGATCTAAAATAGTTACATGTTATCGACTATAGCCTTACATTAAAAAGAAAATAGATTGCTTTTCAGCAGTTCCAAATCCTAGAATTTCTCACTTTTGTTTTTATAACATGGCTAATTACAAGAATAGACTTTATATTAAATTGAATAAAGGCACTTACGATGTACATGAGACAAATAACTGTTAAATCTGTCTTGGCAGTTATCTTGGCAGTTGTCTTGGCAGTTATCTTGGCAGTTGTCTTGGCAGTTATCTTGGCAGTTATCTTGGTTTATCGCACGATTTGTTTAAAAGACTATGATTTTTGCGAGCAAAGCGATCTCGATAAAACGATAGTGCATAAAACTTAATAAAGAGAAATAGCGGAATTGGTTCTTACCTTCATAACGCTAGCTAGTGATTACGTTTTGACAATTTTCGAACTTATGAACGATTATTCGATGACTATTTCTAAAGGAATTAAATTTTCATCATTGGAAAGCAGTTCACTTAATTAATTGGATAGTCACGTGGGTAAAATCTTATATATCTATAGTATATAATATTTAAAGTTCCTAAAATATGATCTAAAATCGTTATTTCAAAATATTACGATGTCTCTGTGTTTTTATACCATCAACATATTTCATTTTACAAAAAAAAATTACGTGATGTTCGAAACATAATAATAATAAAAACTATTCGTTAAAGCTTTATACATAAAAAGAAATATTAATTCCTACATTGTATATCATTAATACATCGACAATCGATTAAAATAGATGCTTTGCTAAACAGAACAATAAATGGAGTACGTTTACGCACAAATGGAAAAATAGTGCATTCTTCTTTTTTTATGTTCTGCATTATTCTTCATTGGATTGTTATTATATGTTATATATTGTAATCACCTTTGCTCTTGCGACCATATATTTATCTATCATTCTTTGCCATTGCTACTTTATTTTCCAAATGGTTTTCGATCGTTTATTCTTTCTATACGACGGTTATTGACGATTATTATATCGATCTCGAAATTTCTTTCTCCTTTATTATCGCAAAAGTTTTACTCATCGCCCAATTCCAACTTTCAATTTGTCTTATTTGTATCATTATTTTCCACGACCTGCATTTTCTGTGACCTCGTCCGAATCGACCGTCTTTTCGCTACTCAACGGTTTCTCTTTCTTCTTATTAAGACCGACGAATTTGGCTAACATATTCTGTCGAGATCTTTCCGGAAATTGTTCTCCCCTACCTACGGAGATTAAAGTCGCCCGTTTAGGAGGTCTTTGTAGCGGGGGTAGTTTCGGTAGGACGGAAATTTGGTCGGATTTCGATGTCGACTGCTGCTTGATCTCGTCTTGGTCGGGTTTTACCGCCGATTGTTTCTTCGTCTCCTCCTCGTTCGATTTCACCAACTGTTTCTTCATCTCCTCCTGCGTGATTTTTTTAGTGAATTGCGTAATAAGCGGTACGTGTTTCTTCTCCTTTTCCTTATCTTTTTCCTCTTTTTCAGTCTTATCGACTGTAACGTTTTGAGGATCGCTTTTTCGATTTCGAGTCTCGTTTGTTATCAAAATATACTCCCAACGATTCGGCAGCGATAGCTCGACGTCGGGAAGATACTGCTTCCGAATGTCCTCCGGGACGTACCAGCAGGATTTAAGATGCATCGGTCCTTCTTCAGGACATGCTATCCTATCAGCGATTTCATTGATCTTCGACAATATGCTAACCTTCGTCAAGTGACTCCCGCCCTTTTTACTCCAGAACGTCATGAACTCTCTCATAAGAACGTGCCTGCCGTGTCGGTTCCCGTGCACCAATCGAATCAGATCGGGCAAAGCTTCGTCGGAAAATTTAGTCTTCTTTGCTCCTCTCACGGACTGTTGATGGACAGGCGTCTTGCATTCAGCGTTAGCCGAGGGATCCTCTTCCGGTGACGACGGAAGTATTATCGGTAGATTGTTGACCCAAGCTTGACGTGCCAACAATAACTCTTTGACTTTCGATGGAACTGAAACGAGTTTGAATATGTCATTTTGAATAATTTTAAATATAGTTATAGTATAGAATAATACTTAATAATTTTTTAATACATATAATAATACATAACAATTATATCACAAATATATTATATATTTATATTATTATATATCCATAAATAAAATATACTCACTATATTCCGGAAATGAATTGCCGGGTCCTTGCCAGATGCATCCGATTATTTTTGGCTTAAGTTTATGCGTCTTCGTGTTTCTTTCGGCTTCGAATTGCTCTCCCAATATCTTCAATTTCATCTTTTGTGTTTGCGGCGACTGTAATAGAAAAGTACGTTTAGCACTTGATGTTTATTTCCAAAAAAAAATTTTGCATTAAAGTTTTTTGTAACATCTATTATATTATTATAATATACTTACCATATCCTCCATTTCCTCTTCATCAGCCTGCGCTTCTTCGTCGGACAAATAACTGAATTGTAAAATGTTTCTTTGATTAATTTTTGAAAGAATTCACACAGGCACGCAAAGACTAGAAGTTACGAACGTTAAAAATTTATTTATGTAATTTTAAGATTGTATTCAAGATGCACAATGGATCAAAAGTAACAAAATTAATCACTTTGATTCAGATTTTATTTTCTGACAGCAAGATGACTTTTTATAGATTCTTTCTAAAATTGTAATTTCCACTTTTATAAGAAAATTCTCTTATAATAAAACCTTAATTTTAATAAGCGATGAGTATTATTTACTTACTTTGCTATTTTAGGTCATTTAAAAAATTGTCATTATTTGACATGTAAAGGCAAAACATCGATAACTTTTAAAGATACATATTTCGATTTATAATTTGTCATATAAGTTTATAATTTCAACATACCTATTTTTAACTAATGTTACTTACCCGTGAGGAACCATAAACTCATTATCGACATCGTATTCGTTTTCTTCCGAATTTTCCTCGTCTTTCTCGTCGTCCGATCCTTTGAGAGATTCGCCGGGTTCTTCCTCCTCCCATTCATCATCGGAATCAATTTCATAATCGAACCATTTCTGAAAAATAAAAAACATTTTTTCTGCAGACATTTAAACAAACTCATTTTTTTCTCATACAGTTAATACCCATAAAAATATGAAACGAAGTTTCATAAAACGATTTTATTCTACTTTCGAATTAATTATCTTTTACAGAAATTCTCGTCTCTTTGCCGATTACATCAAGAATCCCGTATTACGTGAGTAAAAGAGGACGCATTTGATCTCACAATTCACGCTCTAAATGAATGCCACTCGCATGAACGCTTTCCGATTAATGTAGACAATTCGATGAGCGCTATCGTATTATAGTTTTTCATGCATTGTCATCGACATTTGTTTATCTTAATTTTGGTTACGACCGCGACAGAATCTCAGTTCGTCGTGAACAAGCAGGACGTCGATATCAAGCCAACTTCCTCGACAAGCGATATCTCGGCTTTGCAATCATCTCCGACGTGCCGGCCCGCACGCACTCTCCGATTCTTTTAGTTACGAAGCTGTGGTCGGCCGTTGAACGTTTCCATCAAAATGTAAATGCAAGTCCCGTGAACATTCGTTTTTTTTCCCCCGTCGTGGCCTCGGTGAAGTGTTAAAGTAAATGCTGGCCCGATTGTTTTCGCGTAACCACCGATACGAGAGTGAGATTCGAAGATACATCTCCTCGTCGCGAAAATAATTGTAATGCGCGAAATCTTTCACCCCGATCGAAGTATCGATGCTTGATGTGTGTAATGTGATCATCGCGAGAAGTATGAAGATGTTCCGCCGACAACATATTTTCGTGCTCAGTAAACGGGAATGTATAATATACCGCTCGTTATTCGCGTGCAACTTGGTACTCTTGGTAGCTTGTTAAGTAGCTATTTTCACCTCCGCGTTTGCGTTCTGGAGTAGCTTGTCGAGTAGCTATTTTTGTGACACTTTTTTTATTTTATTTGCGTTGTACGCGGGGCGCTTTGGGTTATGACGACGGGACGATTTGAATGCGCGTTATCATAGCTGCTTTCTTTTGTGTGACAATAGTCGCGGCGCGTCGAGAAGCGCGATAATTCCGGGGATAACATAATTGAAATCAATTAGCTCGAAGCAGTAATAAAACGCATCGCGGTAGTGCGCTATCCCTCGCCGAAAAGTCGATAAATTTCCCCTCTCCCTTTCCTCTCCTCTCCGTCTGTCTCTCCTTCTCTTTTCTCTTTGCGCCGCGGCGCGAGATATTCTTTGTTCGATAAATCAACGTCGATTTCATCCCTACGTGAGCATCAATTACAAGACTCTTCTCGAGACATTAATTTATTATCGGGGAGAAACGTAATCTCACACGGGCGATTGATACACTCGTCGTCTGAGGCGAGTAACACAAAAACAATCGTCGGTTCATCGCTAATAAACAAAAAAGGAAAAAAAAGAGAGAAGAAGAAAGAGTGTACGTTCAAGCAGCTTTTGGCAGCAATACGAAGGTACGTATATGACGTCTCGCGAAGCGTGTAATTTATTATCAAGAATACAAGGTGTCCCAGATCCGCCGAACCGTATTTCTTTCCAACTGCGGATTCTTTAATCATTTTCAAGCCGATTTCACCTTATATTACCGGGCATATCGGAGCATCGAGAACATTTTTTAATTATTGAATGATTTAAAACAATGCAACTCCATATGTATTTTACTTTAATAAAATCTTGATTTAAGACAATTGAAACGCCTAACATTAAAAATTAACATTGAAAAATCAAGATAGAGAAATAAATAAAATAACATAATATTAAATTCTCAATTGGGAAAAATTAACTCAAGGTTGCCGAAGAAATTCGCAATTAAAAGAAAAGTTGATAAGATTAGTTTGTGTGTGCAAATTGCAAAACACGTTCGGAGACACTTTCGGATACAATCAGAATAAAATTGCCACAAGCGCTATAATTTTCTAAATTTATGTAAAACTTAAAATTATTACGTGTCAACTATTAGCACAGAGTTAATGACTGAATCATCCATAGTTTTCACTGATTTCATAATCAGAATTCCGTTTTTACCGCTGAAATTGATTCGGTGTCACAGTCACTCTGATTAGAGGCGTGAAGAATTGAGAACAGATCTGCCGCATCATCACCGAAGGCACCCTCCGCGCACGCACGCACGCACGCATGAAACCGAAAGGATGCAACACGCCCAAGAAGAAAAGCGCAGTTATCGGCCCGAGGGTGCGATGGATGCGCTCAACGTTGCGCCGGATGCATGCCGCGAAGCGCGTCGTACATTATTTACAGCGTGTTGTCGCCCGGCGGGCCATCTGTAATGGCTGTTTTATGCCCCATTAAGATTACGACCGGTGCTCCTCGTCGTGGCTACACCGTAGATTAGGCGGTCCCGACAATCGAACTGATTTATTCCCCCGAATATTCGGGGAATACTGCTAGACCTCCTGCACTTCGTTACCGTGTTAGCGTGACGGCGGCGGCGGCGGCGTTTTGCCTCCGCATGGAAATTGGATACTCGCTGCTCGCCACGTGAACTGTCATCGCCGTAGAACGATGATTGGGCCGTATAATTCCACCGTCCAGATATGTTGCCCACTTGGGAGCTTATAAAATTACGGTTTAAGGTTTACGGGCCAAAGGTTATAAAAAAAGAAGGCTTAAGAGGAACGTATATTCAATAATATTGAGAAAATCGATTAATTTATATGTATAGGTATTAAAAGATCCAAAACCGTCGTAAATTCTCCGTATTTTTTTTCTAATTGACGTCAAACTAACGTAAAACTATCAGTCATCGTTTCCTGTAAAATATGACGATCTACGTCACACGAAAGTGTGACGCTTGATAAGCGCATTTAATAAGCGCGATCGAGTTTTTTTTTAATTTCCCAAATGAGATGGCACGCGCACAACGTTTCGTGCTGCTCTCATAGTGACACAGGATCTAAAATGCGTCTCTCGCAAGATAAACGCGGCGTGTTATCGCCGAACGCATAAATTTCACGCGAAGCGGACTATTGCCAATCATCGGCTGATACATTAATTACCATATACACGTTAAGAAGCGTATAATGTCACTTTTGAGAGTGTACATTCGTACCATTTGCAACACAAGATAGATAAACGCGAATCCTTTCTCAAAAAATGTATCATACATGAAAATAAAGTCCACTTAAGTTAATTCAATAAATCTTAATGGAAAAAGACTGACAGAAGACTAAATAATAATACATTTGAGGCGATTTTCGAATTCTTAACTCGGACAAAAGAATATTTGTATCCGATTCCAGATGGATACAAAAAATATAATAAGTATCTATAGCTATAAAATATAGCTATAAAAAAGACAAGTTTTAAGTTAATTTCGATACAACCTTCAGAGAGAATCAAATAGAACTGCCTGACAAGAACCTGCGATGCGATATACGGCAGCCGATGAAAATTGATACCTGATATATGGGTACTGAAAGGGTTAAAGCTGCGCACGTGAGTTGCGAAAGCGCGATGTTCGCGGAATATTACGTAGCGTATACGAACGTCAGTGTGAGATATCGTTCCTCTGGACACAATAAAACACGAAATCAATCCGATATCCAGTGTATGCCAGTGGATTAGATGTCGATATAACCGCGGTATCTCCGTTCCTTTTTTTTTTTCTAAAAATCTTTAATTAATCGTATTTTCTTCTGTACTTATTTCCTTCTGTGTTATCTACTATTATGTACATTCTCACGTTATTACTTTATATCAGAGAGATATAATGTCCTTTTTATCCTTACTTGAGATCTAATATTCTTTGAAACTTCGATTTTTTTAATTGTATTTTCTTCCAAAAATCAAAGTAAGACGTTTAAAAACAGCTTCTTATAAGAAATATAATTCTTAAGAAAGAAACATCTTAATTTTTCAGGCGCACTTGATTAAATGCTTCTTCGACTCTTACGTTTGGACTGCGCCTTATAGATGCGTTAAATTTACATATAACGTAACTTTCAAGCAGAGAGCTTCTCTCTCAGAGGAGAATAATTTTATTTTCTCGCACCTTTCCCTCTTTCTCCCCGGCTTCATTCTCGAAAAGGACGCGAGTGCAATGGATCTGAGCACTCGCGAAGATATATCGGATCGCTCGCGGTCGCCAGATAATAAAAATGAATCCGCCAGATAAACGTGCCGTCGATGGATCACTGTATCGTCGCCGAGCCGTGGTCTGTTTTTCATAACGCAAACCACCACGTAAATCGTACCGATAACTATACCTTTTAGCGCCGCTTGTCCTAATCTAAAACGCCGAATATCTACGCTAACAGACATTACGTCAAATTCTCGTGGAAATAAACGAAAAAAAGCGACAGAGATTACGAGTTCAATATTGCATCTCTTTGCAGAAGTACACTGTTAAATCTATAGTGTTAAATTTAATCCTATTTGAGTCGCCACTGCTTCTACTTAATATATAGTTATTTTCAACTAAAACAATGGAGTTAAATAATTTAAAACTGTTCAAATTTAACACAAATTTTGATTAAATTCCATTATTTTATTTAAAAATAATTATATATTAAGTAGGAGCAGTAGTGACTCAACTAGGGTTAAATTTGACACTACAGATTTAACAGTGTATTGCTTGTCTCGTATACACAATACCCGATAACGTTATTGCATAAAAAAAACAAACATTTTTCTATCTCTTTCTACGCGTTCATAACAGTTAATGTAATTAGTTTATAAAATAGAATTATAACGCTACGACATTTTAGAGTCGGAAAGTTATGAAAAGTTATCCCTGACAATGCTGATCACATAATCTCAAGATTGGTGCAGGGATAGCGTCGGAGTGCTTATCATCTCTTCGGGATGTGGTGAGAACACGCCGCAACGTGCGAGGAAGTTCAATTCTCAAGATTGTTTACAACGTATTTAATATTTCAGACAAGTCTTACATACTTGCGAATTGTACAAAGATTCATATTTTTATTTTCTTTAGCTCCTTCATAATTGCGTCAAAATCAAATTGGAACAAATCAAAAGAATCGGAGATGAATCGAGCCACCGAAGAATCTTATAGCCGATTGCCGGATTAATCTCACCTATGTGGTGTTATTTTTTCCGACCAAACCCGAATCATGAGCGACAATATGTGCAACGTTGTATATCTAAGGTCAACCTCGTACCGATAAACGAGCGATCGAACTCCTAATGGCAGTGGCACTCGGGTGAGACACCTTTATCGGGTCTCGTGTCGCGTTCTAGGTCAAAGTCATTCAGCGAAACACAACGCATTGCGCGCGAAATCATCGGATCCGCGCTTCGCTCTTAGTCTCTTTTCTGCCTCGACAGTAATGTAATTCGGAAAGATTCCATCCGGGTCAACGGCTCGCGGTTGACAAATTTTCGCAATCAGAAAACAACCGATCTAAATTCAGACGCCGTAATGATGTATATTTCTCAGCAATACTTCATCAATGATTTCTGAATTATATGATATTTTACATGTAAAAAAAATGATAGAAATGTCGCACAAAGAAACAAAGATATTTTAATTCTATGTACATCTAATTGCTAGAAAAAATTCTATAAAAATCTACAAAGATTTTTATCTTTTAATAGCATTGATTTCTATGCGAGAAAAAATCTTGAATATTCAGTGCGATGTATGACAGGATATCTTAATGATCTCAAATATTTTAGAAGATAACTAAAAAACATTAGAGAAGATAATGTTTTAGTCTTGTATGTACCTGCATGTTTAAAACTTCCGCAAATGTATACATGTTCTATAAATGTATACGACAGATACATATGAATATCCGCATAAGAGAATATGTTTTAACTAATATGTTTTAACACGTAATCACTTGAAATAATTCTGATATCTTTAACAGAATTTTTATTTCTATTTCCATATTTTATTCCTATTTTAAAAGAATTTTTATTTCTTTTTTAGTTTCTTTTGCGATTCAAACTATTTCTCGCAAATAAATGAAGATCAAAATATTTCGTTTTTAATTCCATGTAATTAGTTGATAACATAAAAAATTTTTTTTGTTTGAAATAAAGAAAAATATAGTTCATCGATTACAATTGCAAATTCGAATGTTTGAAAAATTATGCGATAGACTATCACAGGTATTATAATATGTCAAATTTAATTCGATATAGGACCAAAGAATTAATAACATTGGTTTTTACGTTTTTAGAAGAAAAATTCAAGTCTTGACACAGACGGGATGTCTAGAAAGTATTCGGGAAAGACAATATCTCGTTCGTACACAAAAAAAAAACGTATTAATATGTCATGCTCTTGTTTTAATAAAATAATGTTTGTCTTATTAATACTATTGGATATACTTATTGGATTAAACTGCTGTCATCTAATATCAATGCATAATTTTTCTTCGTGTATCCACGTATTTTAAGTTTCGCAAGTATTCTTTAACATAGATTCTAACATATGCAACAATATACCTATACTTAAAAGATTCCACATGTAGCACGTACATTCCACATATGCGATCCATATGTACACTCCTATGGATCGGTTGTTATTACTTCTTAGTAAGCTAACTGATAATTAAATCATATATCTTTGTCTAATTTGAAGGAAGAACAAAAACTGACTGATTTAACTATCAGTTAACTTATCAAGAAATTGAAACATTCAGTTCTATATATTATATTTTCTGTGGATTTTTGTAGCAATAATTTGTCACCTAGCAGAGCCAAATTGTCGAAAATTTTCTTAACATGCGCCCAACGTCACGATATTTCGAGATATTTCCGCGCACGTATGTGCGACCGATCGAAACGGATTCAGCAGCTTGCTCTCCTCGCATTACATCATGAATCGAAATTGTTAATATATCTGGCAGCCACGTGCACGACAGCGCAATGGCATTCTCGAGACATCCCCGAAGACAAGAGAGAGAGAGAGAGAGGGGGTGTTCCTCTCTCTTTCCCTCTTTCACGAATCCGCGCGACGATGCGATGCGATTCGTTCGGCCAAATCGTTGCGCTGATAGCCAGCATCCCAGCATCGCGATTATCCGGCGCGCTGTCCGATTAATTTGCATCTCGAGGGACCGTAAATAAACGGCTGATCTGCTCGTTCAGTAGGGACGGGATCAAGTTCGATGTGTATCGATTGCGAGTCGCGGGCCAACTTCAACAGCCGGGTTTCGCTTCGCGAGACTCGAGTGATGATTGTAAAAAGTGATCGCTTTATATGTGAAAAGAATTGCTCTTCTAACTTTAGTAAGTGCAAGTAGATGCCAGAGAGTTCAAAAGGATTATATTTCGAGAGGAATTGGATCGAGTAGTGCTCTCGAAATCTGAGAATCTCGAAAAATACTAACTCTTCTATTCTTTACGAAAATAAACAGTACCTATGAAATGATGTAATTGCTGATTATTTAGGTATAACAACATAGAATTATCACAATAGGTTATCAAGAAATTTGAAAACAGACTTTTCCAACCAGTTTTCTAAACTGCGTTGTATTTGTCCTTTCCTAGAATAAAAACCTCTGAAACTTGAAGAATTTGCTATTAGTATCTCATGGTCCCTTTGGAGATTATTTTTTTTTGTCTAGAGATATATATCTCGAATTTGACTGAAAGCTTTCAAACATGATTTATGTCTTTTCGACCTTAATGTTTCACAATACAATTTTTTTTTTAAATAATCGTAAAAGAAATTCGCGGTTATTGCAAGATATTTAATCTCATCCCTAACGCGGACCAGAAGGGGATAAAATAACCGACGGATCGCCGTTGAGAATGGTGGTGCCGATGTTCTCTCTCTCTCTCTCTCTCTCTCTCTCTCTCTCTCTCGACGTTCTGGGACAAGCTGGCGACGTACGCGATCGCGAGGTCCCTGGGGATCGACACGGTGACGGCGCCGGGTGGCACAGGCCAGCATCCTTATCTCGGGAACCACACGCTCCCTCATCACACATTCTCTCGACATCGCACACGCTTGTCGATGTCTTTTCGCCTGGAGGATTCGATCACCAGTTGCAGTATCGATACGACTACCGATCGGTCGTGACGAGTGGATCGGCAGTTACCCGATTTCGTGTATCTTTCTCCTCGCGACGTTCCGACGCGCGCGACGTTTCAAACGTGTCGCACTCGCTACGACTGTTACCGACTTCTGTTACCGATTTTTTTATTTTTATTTTTATTGTAGTTCCGTATTTTGGAACGTACCTCAAAGTCGAGTGTCTCTCGATCGTAAACAGACAAATTGCACAAGATCGCGTCTATGATCTAATACGGAGTCTTAGCCTAAATATACCGCGAGCAGAAGTCTAGCTTTGTTAGCTCCACGCAAATCATGATGTGGTGATCGATAAATAGCATCTATAACGGTATCGGGAAACATGACTGAGTTAATCTTGAGAGCAATCTTGTAAACGTCATATGAAATTGTTAATCTAAAAGTTTTCGTTGTGCGTGATCGTCAATTCGTATGAAAAGCGCATTTTCTAAGATCAGCTGCAATCCTAGTTTCGATTTGATTTCTCGGCATCATGATCGAAGAAGCTATGACGTTCGATGTGAGTGCATACATTTCTTTTCTGCATTATGGAAATTAAATTCCGTATAATCACTTGTTTAATAATGGAATATTGGCAAATTCCTATCAAAATTGTCATTAAAACGAAAGTCAAATGTTAACTCATGTGTCGACATTAAATTCAAAAAATAATTCTTAAAAAATAATTAAAAAATATATATATTTCTCTTCATCTACAGATGACGGACGATATACTGTTCTCCGCTCTCGGCCTGACGACGGACACCAGCATCGAGAGACAGCTATTTTCTCCGACTAGGACAAATCTATCTAGCGATTACGAAGTCTCATGCACGACTCCATTTAGTGATGATTTCGGAATATTTGACAGTCAGTTGAACATGACAAACCCGACAGATTGCTACACCGATTTAAGTTGTTCTCCGCAATCGTCTTGGAACGACTGGTCGATCACCAGTACGCCCACATCGTCAGGTATTTTTTTTCTTAATATACAACTATGTATACGATAATCTATATATTCTATATCTAACGAACGTAGAAAACAATAATAATTAAGTTCAACTTATTACAAATATTCCCGTTTATCGTGAGAAAATTTGCTTAGACTTTCATTAGAAAAAATTTTAGATTTTATGCCCCCCCCCCTCCCACCTCCCAAGACAGAGAGAAATCTTCTAATCAAACAAAAAAAACTTTTCTTAAAATGTTCTTTTTTTGTAAACTTTCCTCTGGTTGGAGGATTTGTTTGAAGTCTTTTGCCGCTCCTATAGGTACTCTAGCATTAAAATGTGTGCTGAATAATTACAGGTTATCTTAGCGAACTGGGTGATTTGGATTCGGAATTGGGGGCATTGTCGGACTGGTGTCTAGAGAAGAGCTGGGACTTTGGCCTACCGGAAAGAACGCCACTATGTACCGCAGGGTGCGAAGGATTTCTGCATCTACCACCCTTACCGAATCCGCAAAGTCCACAGACGCCACAATATGAAGAAAAGTTGCTAGTACTCGACATCGATTTACGATCATTGGAAACGTTAGGAACAAATACGATAGGTACAGGATTTAAAGAGGATGTATATTCTGAGATCAAAATAACATCGAGGATTAATTAGAGCATTAAAAGTGATTTTTTTCAATTACATAACGCAAAAAAAAACTATTCTTTCTTCATTCGCGGGTGTTATCTGAAAATGACACGACAGCTATACTGCTTAAAATGCATCGTTATTTCAATGATCATATCGTAAAGACGATTAACATACATTTCTATTGCAGATTATAACAACAATCCGATAGACAACAGTCTCCTAATCTCATCAGCAGCTACTGCCGCTTTAGCAACCCATGATTACACCAATCGTAACTTAGCAAACGCGTCCGAAGATCGATGCTTCCCATGTACCTACCAAGGATGCCTAAAAGTAAGTTTGATACAAGATTTATCGGCTATTTTATTGGCTATATTTCACGCTAAATATTCTACCATATAGCCTTTTAAAAAATAAAAATAATTAAAATTTAACTAAAATTATCTTTACATCATAATCTAATTTTTTTTATGGAAGATTAATGATATAAAGAATTTTTAATTGATTCTTAAGAGAAAGAAAAAGAGAAAACGGAGGAAAAAATTTGAAGATCGAGTCCTAAGTAAATATAATAATTTATCTCTTGTTATTTTAGGTATACGCCAAGGCGTCTCACTTGAAGGCTCATTTACGCAGACACACCGGCGAGAAACCGTTTGCGTGCACTTGGGCCGGTTGCGTATGGCGTTTCAGTCGATCGGACGAGCTGGCGAGGCACAAACGATCGCACTCGGGCATTAAACCGTACTCGTGCGAGATATGCACGAAAAAATTCGCGCGTAGCGATCATCTGGCCAAGCATCGTAAGGTGCATCGGAAAAACGCCTATCCATTGTTCCATGGAGCTAGAGGCATACGCGGCGGCAAGCTAAACGTTTTACCATCAGAAATCTAAAACTTCTTCGCCCCCCTCCCTCCCTCGCGTCTTTAAGAATTTCCTTGTAATTAATAAAAAAGGCAAGCCAAAGTTTATCACTAAGAACATGAAAACATGTTTCGACATAGCTCCTACATAAGTTGACAAATAAAGTACTTAAACTGATTTTATATAAAGATAATAATCCAAGTGGCAAGGTGATGTCTTAATAACGTCAAAAGACGTCTTAATAATGTCTATAACGTCAATAAGACATTATTGAAACGTCATTTGATGTTATCCTGCTACTTGGTAAGTGACCTATGCCAATGCAATGGTATAGATTAATTCTTAATCTTTAATATATTTTCGGCGGCTAATTCTGCTTAATACACTTACCTATGTCTCTGTTCAAGAACCACTAGTATTAACACGAATAAAATAATATCATAAATGTTGCGTTAAAGAAGATCGAGAAATTTATTATATAAATTTTTGAGATAATTTTTACCAGAAATTTTTATCAATTGCAAAAAAGCAGAATTAATGCAATAAATCGTAAAGTTACATTAAATTTAAGAAGATATATTCAATCTAAAGTTAGATTGAGTAAAACTAATAAGTGGGACTAGTCCCTATTGATGGCAGTTAATGTTACTTCAACCAAAAATTGTATACAACGTTGTATAAAATGATAAAATTACGAAAAATGCATTTTCTATACAATTCTATATCATTTTTCGTTTTATATGACTCAAAATATTTTTTGTAAAAAATTAACAATTAAGATTGTTAATGCAGTTCTAATAATCGACGATATATATTTATGTACGAAATATTGACCGTTTTAATAATCATTATTTAAAGGTTAACATTTTGAAATAAATAATTGCGAATCTTTAAAGAGTTTATAAGAGAATCATCCTATTAATTAATATTAATATTCTTACCTTGTCTTTCGTAAACGGTCGCCGGGAATTTAGAACGCTACTTCGTTTCCGCCACGTGCCCCAATACGGAGGACGGCGATTTTCGTCGAACTGCAGTAACTTCGGTCGGTGCTTCTCAAAGTTATGTGTATCCGTTATTATGTTGGAACTGCCACTGTTGTCTTCGTCTGCACAAACATCAATCAATTCATTAAAACATTTAAGAAATTGTACCAAGAGACTTACATGGCAAACGTAGTTTTATTACAAACGTGATTTTTACCTAGCAGGATGATATCATCGTCGTCCTTTGTTTCAAGCGGCCACGTTTTGGAGGAAGTACGTGGTACGATTCTTCCTTTTTTAATATCCTCGAGATACAATTCGGTTTTATCTAAATCTACGTTGTACTTGTTATCGAACAATAATTTATCGTGTTCGCTCAATTTTCTTCGGCAAATCGGCGCGATTTTCATGTCGGCCTTTATTTCGAAAGGCATAAAATTGCTCACTTCAACGACACTCTCTTCGTCCGCCGATTTGACCTCCTGCTTTTTAGAAACGAAAAAGCTCGCAAAATTCGAAGCAGCTTTCTGCTTCTTGCGCTCGGCTTCCAGTCGTTCCTCCTCTTTCCTTCTTTTCTCTTCTTCTCGCTTTTTCCGTTCTTCTTCTCTGGCTTCCTTTTCTTTTTGTTTTTGTCTAGAAAATAAATGACTTTAGTATGAAAGATATATACAACACAAAATGCGCATTAAGATACAATTTTTCTTACTCAATTTCCATTTGTTTCTTAAGTTCCTTTAATTCTTTTTCCTTCTTTTTTTGCTCTCTTTCCATTCTCTCTTTTTCTTCTTTTTCCCTCTGCTTCTCTTCTCTCTCCCTTCGTCGATTTGCTTTCTCTTCCTCCCGCTTTTTTTCTTTCTCCTAAAACATAATACAATATAAATAAAAAAATATACATATGTATAATACTCATGTGCAACATAATCAAATTTATATAATTTGATGTTATTTCATAAATAAACAAAAATAAAATTTGAACCTCTGCTTTATACAATACATACCATTCTTAATCTTTGCTTCTCTTCCTTTCTTCTGGCAATTTCCTTTCTCTTTTCCAATTGTTTCGGTGTTAATTTTTTAATTTTATTCTGGGAATCTCTGTCGCTTTTTGGAGTAACAGGAGTTGTAGGGTTGCCAGGTGTTTCTTTATCTCTACTCGATACTGATTTGTCCAACTCGCTTGAAGCCTCATTATCCGAAGATAAAATGGTAATATCACAGTCTGATTCCCGAAGCGAAGAATCGGCATCCTTGTTAGCAACACAAACATCCGTTTCACTCAGTGACATATTTTGAGATGTATTTTGTAATTCAGATGAAGTAAATTGTGCGCCCGCGCTTTCATTCAAACTGTCTTCATTCTTTTCCTTATGTACAGATGTATCTTGACAGTCCTTTTTATCTTTTAATTCAGACAAATTATTGTCATTACTAATATCGCTTTCATTAACCTCCATGTCTGTTCTTTTGAGGAACTTAGTTAAGGCACCGGGTTTCTGCTGAGGTCCATCCAGTTTCTTATTTTTTCCTAGACCCTTCCTTCTTGGCGTACTATCGTCTTTCCTAGTCTTTTGCTGATCACTCTCCAGGTCTTTCTTCTCGTCATTCGGTGTTATTATTTCGACGCTATCATTGCTACTGTTGAGCATCATCTCGCTTGCATCTTCTTTTTCTTCTTCCTTCTCAGGTATGTCTTCGATCAAGTTCTCTTTCGCTGCAAGTTTTATCACCTTGGAGCTCTTAGAGCCTACCAAGGGTGATATTATCTTCCTCTTCTTCTTGTTAGACACATTGTCTGTACTGTTTGGCGATTTGGAGGAATTTAACGTTTGAAATGGCAGTTGTGCTGAAATAACGAAGATAATTGTGCTGGAGTTAATAAATTGAATGGAATTAATAAATTGATATGATAGGCATGTTCTTTTCAGCTAAGCTTCTCATATCTTTATCCTTCCTCGTTTTTTATCCACATTGAAGGAAACACAAAGAAAAGATGAAACAGTGCAAGAAGTTCAGCTCAAAAGAACAAGCCTGATATAAGGCATAATGGCTATTATTTATACATAAATAATACAAGAAAATCGAAGTACCTTGTTTCATTTTCTTTCTCTTCGGAGTAGTCACTTCTACTATGCAATCGTTGTCTTCCATCGAAACGTCCATACTTTTTATTTGTCAGATCTGGAACATCGTACAAAAATTCTGACATTTTTTTTTCATAAATATTAGAAAGACAAAAATGAGGCTGCGTGTTCTCGCCGGGGTGGCGATCGAACCGTCGTGAATTTACCTCGTCGTTTCTAAAGTATCACGACGTTTAAAGCATTCCTCAAACGTTATTACGGACTAATCTGTCAGTGCGGTCTAGCGCGTTATAACCTAAACGAGAACGAGGAACAATTCGCCGGGACGATTCGGCCGGTTGTGCGGAAAAACGTCGCCGCGCAACGACGGAGGCGTGCCGAGGGGAATACGAACTGAGAGAAATGCAATTTTCACATTTAAACGAGCGTCACGTTAAATAACACACCACACATCGTCAACCCGGTCACCGCGCGCATTAACAACGAAATCCGCGGGAAAACGTGTGTCGGAAACTCGGAAGGGACAATGCGATACGTCGTCGATCTGAAGGCGCTGCTCATGCAGGGGTACCAATATCGGTCATACCCGCGGCAAAAATACAATTTTGAAACGGCCTTAGAACATATACCAATAAAAATATATGTTAATAATAATATTACATATATTATTGACATATATTTTTATTAGTTGTTCTAAGGAAAACGGCACATCAAGGATTACGTAGCAATTTTTAAATCTTAAAATTGTCTCTTTTAAATGTCTACTCTGTAATAAAATATTTAATTATATAATAACGTATTTCATAATCATCAAATTACATATGCAACAGTGTTCTGGGCAACATTATCTGGGCAATAATGCGGAGGTGGTTATCTTTGTACAATTTATAAAAAAAATTTATGTTTTATTTTGCTTTCAGGAAGATATGTACAAATTTTCAGAAATTTGTATACCTCAGGATTGCTTGTGCCTCAATCTTTGGCGACTCAATTTGTCTCCCGTTGTTCTGTCACGAGTGTCGTTCTGCAGATACACGAAATAGTACAGTATCCAGCAATAAGTCACACCGACGGCACAATATACAGAAGTAAGTGCCAGCGGCAGGAACGGCAGTTTGTCGCCGAGCAACAGTTTATGCAGCACCACTTCGTAGATCGTAAGTAGCGGCAGCGGTACCACGTACAGCCACTCATGCAATCGTAACAGGGACCTGCCGTGCTGATTAGTCAAGACCAAGATCGACGAAAGCATGTACGCCAGCGACAACAGCAGTTTCAGGCTAGACAGGTTATCGGGATGCAGCAGTGGCGAAAGAGCAGTTTGTCCAGCACCGCTTAGAATAATGAATACGCGCGCGTCTTCCGCGCGTGTCGCCGCGAGGACGCTAAAAATTATTATTACATTTTCTAAACTTTCAAATCGTGTTATTTTCTGAACTCCCAGATCTTCTAAACTCCACATTTTGTAATAAAACAAGTTCGAGTGTTTTAATATGCTTACCACAAAGGAATAATCGCGGTTAGTATGGCTTTCTCGTGCACGTGCCAGCCGAACATGAAGGAACTTAAAGCGCACAGTACGATGCACCTAACGAAGTCTTTCGAATTCGCGGAGGACCCCTTACGTAGCAGGCACCATAACGCGGGCTGAAATAATTATATTAGTGATGTAATCCATCCGTGTAAGAAATATAATAATACGAAACATAATTTAATACACGAAATATTCAATATAGAAAAATCAACAAGTCGTTGTGCGCCAATAAACTTACGAGCATTGCCACGAAAGTCAGAATGAACGTAACGGCAGGGGTTGGAGTGGGTAGTATAAGGAAGTTTTCCTCTTGCACCAAACCACCTGTCATTACCGCGGATTTAACGTCTCTCAGCCATCCGAAGCGTTTCCATATCACAGACAGCACTTTCTCCGCGCCGATATATAATGCCCAACCATTCGCAGCCCAGTACGAATGCACCAGGCCCCTTTTAAACGGAAACAAACGGGAAATTACCTAATAAAAGAAATTGCTGAGTTGAATTGAAAGAAAATGTAATGTCAGCAAGTTTATATAAATATTACCTGCGGCAATTGAGTTCTGAACGGACCGAAGGACACCGCTAGAACAGTCAGAACGATCAGTCCAAGGCTAAATAACCGCTTGAGGAACTTTCCACTGTTCAGACAATATGATTTTAGCAGCCAGACGGTGTACGCTGGTGCCACGTACAGGTACAGATGTTTTAGATTGAGTAAAACGGCAAACCACGTAGCACCTTGCAACACCGACATCTAGAAACGAGCTGCTTTTTACTATGAGTAAATTTCAAAGAGTACACTGCGGGATTTACCTGCTTGTCAGTCTTCGAGACGTTCGCCATTGACAGCAATAGAATGCCGAGCAGAAAGCCATTGTACTGGAAGTGTATATGGTCGACTATCAGCAGTCCTACGTTGCACAATGACAGAAACACGAAAACTACGTGGCTGTTCGAAGATTTGCAAAATGTTCTACTCGTTCTGCAAAAAAAACAAAAAGAAACATTTAGGATTTCATATCGCACAACATTCTCTACATGTATATGTACAACTTAAAAGAAACTTGGTTTTCTTCTGTGCAAAGATGACTTTTTCACGAAAGATTTATTTAATTGATTACCAATCTTACAGATATACTTACTCACTTACTCCATAGGCAAATATCAAATCAGCGAATATAACGGTGCCTCTCTGGAAGTATACAGTGGCTGGCGAGGCATAGTTTAGATTCTCCACCTTGAGCATCTCCGGATCGAAAAACGCAGCCGCTCGGCTGAGGCAGTACTCGAACCACGCGAACAGAGGTGGATAGTCGAGAGTCCAGGGAGATTGTGCGTTCACGTACCATTCCGCGACCGGTAGACTGTGCGTGATGGCCAGCCAATTGCGATGTACCTCGAAATCAGTGGAGCGGCTGCAGGTGCAACAGTGAAACAGATGTAATCTTCGATATAGGTTCACTTCTACCAATGTAGATTAACTTTAATCACGGTTTTATTTACTTTTTATCTTGTAATTCTTTTTTATCTTCTAATTCTTAAAAGTAGAAAAAAGATACGGAGTAAGTTAAATCTGGATTAAAGTTAATCTACCTTGGTAGAAATAGACAATAAAGAAACAATCTTGGTACGAACGGATCAATAGAGCGACCGTTCAGAGAGCTCTGGCTTACTAAGTAGGAATCAGGAGAATCTTGATGCAGGTGACTAGAAGAAAAGTCTTCAACAGTATACTGTCCGTCCTCCAGAGGGTAGAGGAGGAGGACGAGGAAGATGAGGAGGTAGAGACGATCTTTCCATCCTGCTTCACTTGAGCCCCTGCCAAGATGTCTTTCTTCTGACCGGGCATGTCAATCCAACTTGCTCCTCGCTATTTACTGACGTCAGTTATATCGCGATGAGCCTCCGATACATTCCACAATTGTGACAGCGTCCTCAGGGAAGGGACACTCGGTCGGAAAAAACGTCGCCGACGCGACGTCCGCACGCAAACGACACGCGCGGCGAGGTTAGGACGCGTGGCGCGCGACCGGCGCGACGAGCAGCTGATGGACGAGACGATTATAGGTTAGATTGATACATTTTAGTATTTACACTTTAACAGGGCGACGAGACGATTGTAGGTTAGGATTCGCCAGGGAAGGCCGGAGTCCGCGGAGTAGCGAACGGAGCTGCCGCAGCTATGTTCGCTCTCGGGCTGCCATGGGCTCTACGAGGGGCCTCGCACTTCGCTCAGAGCTTTAGTCGGTATCGCGCGGCGCGTGCGACTTGGCAGTGCCGAGCGATCAGCAGAAAGGCGAAGCAGGAGAACGACAGGCTCGAGGCCAAGAAGTCGCAGCCGAAGAGGACCACGCGGATGCCCAAGATCACGCTCGTGTCGCCGGACAACACGATCACCGTGACCGTGCTGGAGGTGGCCCAGCGTCTGGCGAAGCACCGCAGCCTCAATCTCGTCAAGGTGGACGACTTCGACTCCACGTCGCAGCGGCCGATCTACAAGCTGGTGAGCAACACCGGCATCCTCGAGCAGGCCGAGGAAGCCGTGGTGGCCGAGGAGGAGGAGGAGGAGGAGGGTACCAAGACCGATAAAGCCGCGCAAAAATCCAGCAAGGGCATTAAATTGTTTTACGTGTCCGCGAAGATCGCGGAGCATGACCTACTGACGAAGACGAGGAACGTGGTGAAACTGTTGAGTAAGGGGCAAAAGGTCAAGGTCGTCATCACCCTGGACGGCGCTGACGGGGTGAGTTCTGTGCGATTCTCTCCTTTGCTTCTTCGCAACAGCTGATCGGCCAGTCCCATTGTCAGAAAATACACGGGGAATTCCATTATATTATTATTAGTTAACATTAATTGTGTAATTAAGTCTGTGTAATCTAAGTAAATGATAATTTTTTAGAATGTTTAAAGGGTGATATTAAAAAAAATTAATGCTGGGACGCCCCATGAGAAACAAACATTTAATCACATACGTTTTTTTTTTGTAACACATAGGATCAGACGCAAAAAGTCATAGAGGATGCTGTAAGAAACGATGGCAGTATCAGACGAATGCCGTCCAAGAAGAACGTTATTTTACTCTTAATAGAACCTTTAGATAAAAATGAAGACGTTTCTGTAGATAATAAAGACAAGACTGCCAGCTAATGCATAGTTAATAAAAGAGATACATGAGATTTGTTGAATGTTATAAATATGGACATTTCACGTGATAATTTACTGCTGTTGACGTAAAAAAAAAAAATAGGTTCTTTGTGTAACTAAATTAATGCAATAATATGTGTACGTATTTCTATATGCAAACATTATATGTATATATAATAACCGCATACAGCGTTTAACTCAATTAAATTTGCGAGATGGCCATATAGGATCTTAATACTCACTGAAATTTCATGCGATTTTTATATACGTTTTTCTAGTTCTTCGAACTACGGGCCGTTACATTCGATCTCGAGTTCTTAATTGAACAGAATAGCAATATCACAATATTAAATTAATAATGAATTTAATAATACTGATGCTTACAAGCATCTCATAAGAGTCTTCCCTCCTCCCAACGCGATGCGAGAATATCGTAAATGAAATTTTTATGAGCACCAAGATCCTTTTATGATTATCATTTGATTTGCTTGCAAATTTAATTTATATATATATGCATTTATGTGTATATAGAATGTGAATACATTTTCAGTGATTATATTATATTTATTTTGAATATATTATAACTTTACAAAAGAATAACAGGTAAATATCTTTTTTTGTACCATACCTACGATTTCGTTATTGTCAATGAAGAGAGAGAATTCCGTGTTAATAAAACTTCCCGTTACACGTCAAACAAACGGCTTACTGACTATCGAGCTACTGATATGTCTACGTCGCATTTTACAATATAGTATTTTAAAATATCGTGGTTCTCAGTTTTCAAACTGAAGCTGTTATTACAAACTTTGGTCTTACAATGAGATCTGTAATACGTGATAAATGCTACAAATGTGACACGATACGCGGTATTATAAATAAATGCTGTTACTTTACGAGTGGTCTTCGCGATTTATTACCCGCGCTAGAAAGGGAAGGGGGATTTACTTAATGTTAATATTATTATGTCGCGATTCTAATTTTATCCTTTCACTATCGTTAGACAGACATCAAATGATTTGTCTTCGCCTTTCGCGAAAAACTATACGACTATTCGAACATTATTTTATTATACGAGTACGATAATTGTAAAAATTCTAAATTACCTCTTTTCTAAACACAACTGACATAGTGGAATGCAAATCCAGTTTGCCTTAACTTAATATCATGTTGGGGAAAGAAACTTCACGTATTTACGGCTTTGAGATAAATAGTTATATGAGATTTCCTGAAGTATAAAGATGAAGTAATTCAACACGACACGACCGTCGCGAAACGACGCGTGGTACAATTTCCCTGTGCGTGATAAATTACACTGGAGGACAGAGAATGGACATGAACGTAAAGAGAAGCAATCCCTTTCATTGAAAAATCCCTTTCATTATATAGCCATTACAGAAGAACATCACATGAACTTCTATTTTCTATAAAAAAATAATCAGAATTGTGCAACGCGTCTTAAGTACTATATCTGATTGATTCAAATTGTGTAGATATACGTGTATATATCACAAAATGGAGAGAAACCAGTTTTCCTACTCTTATACAATCACACCTAAATAATTCTTTTTCTGTTTCTCTGAAGAAATATTTACCCTTATTGATTTCGATAATGAAAATCCAGAAATTCAAATGAATTACTCGTTTCATTCGCTGCCTCCCTGATTTTTATCTCGTTAACTCTATCTTCGCTAGTGAAACGGCGAACATCCGCTCGTGTTGAAAACGTTCGACAAAATTGCTGTCGTCCAGTGTTATTCTTATCCATCGATATAATTTTCTCTACTCCTCCTAAACGCGTCTCGAGATTTCAATCGCGTGACATATCTTGTAAGAGGGAGTGTCTCGTTTAATCAGTCTAATCATATAAATTCGCACCGCTGCGCAAATCGCTTATCGATTAGCTAGACAAGAGATTGCGGAAACGTTACGTTCGCCCGTCTATTGCGGACAGTCCACCTTGTGGCAGTTCTTGAATTCCACCAAGGTCGGACAGAGCTTGGCCCAGGCTCCTTTCGGCTTCACCATCACACTTCTGACTCTGGTTCGTAGACTCTCACCGCAGGTCGCACTACATCTCGACCACCTTGACCACGGTGTCACTTTGCAATCCACTGTAACTTTACGAACGAGACGGCTAGACAAACAGAACTGACAGGCCACCTTGTTCAAATATTTTATCAGGCATAGACAAATCACGTAAATTCAATGGATTTGCTTTATCGCGTTAACTCGTTCGACGGATATCCTACTCGTTCGTAAATACGCTCATCGAAACGCCAGTTTTACATATTCGCTAGAGGCAATTTTTTTCAGTGCGGAGAAATTTTACTTTATGTATATTCGAGGCGTTGAATGCGTATACCGCGTGTAAATTGAGTGTGCTTTTATATAAAAAAAAATTAAAAAGGATAGGGAATTTTAATGAAATATTTTCCGAAATTCACAATGAATTCCGTGAATTTTATCTGTTTTAAACGATATTTCAAACAGATATGAGACTTACTCTCGGCATCGATTTTCGAAGTATTTTTGTCCCGATGAAACCGTCGACCTGTTCCATCACCCTGTAGAGCTGCAAAATTTATTTCTTGTCATATTATTTTCCAATCGAGAACCGATTAAAGAAGCAAAATCTCCAAATCTATAAGAACTCTTCTTTCACATGCGGTAAAAGATTTTAAAATTTATTACAACGAATACGTTGCTTTCACAGTTGTATCTATAATTAAATCAGTTTATAGCGATAGATTAAAGAAAGTAACACTTACAACACGGGGGAACCTTGCGGCACTTCTTTTTTCGGTAAATTTTTGGACATCTTTTACCTCCATTCTGGGCTGGGATCTGCTCGTAAGAGAATTAAATTTAATATATTAAAATAATATTGTTATAGATACGTATAAATATGGTATCTATATTAAGATAACATTCTTTTACAATTCAATAATTCGTGTATATATATATTATATATATATATATATATATATATATATATATGTATATGTATATAATTTCTTCAATTGAAAATCTCTATTACTATTTATTCGTTTAAACATCGTTGTTTTCGTGCCGTGCCGTAAGCATCGAGAAATTTCAATAGGTACGCGAATAAGTCTCTAACAATACCATAATTTCCCTGGTGCTTGTAGTAAATCCATGACAGTTCTCACAACGAGACCATTTACTCCATTCGGAGACCTGGCAGTCCACTTTACCATTCTCATCCCATTCTATTATCTGACTGCTCGGTTGAGCATTAAAATTCTTCTCTCCTGCAAAGAGGCACAAGGTGATCTTCAGCGAAGCAGAAATTTTTCTATGCATTACATTTCTCTAATGGTTTTTAAATTTACATTTTTGCGTAAGAACGGAATATAAGTTTGTATGTATATATGTATATGAATCTTGGTCACAAATATTAGTTGATATTGATCAGAAATATTGAATAATTTTATAAAGCACTTAATTATATCACCGTGTTGCGCTCTCTTCGCTTTCGAGGTGCGTTGTTGTTGAACGGGAATATGATAGCTGAGGACGCTGCTAAGAGACACCTTCAAGTTTTTCATGATTGTCGACAGATTCGCCCTCAATTCTCCTGAATTCGTTAGTAAGCGTGTGCAAGGTATAACACAAGTGGTTATTCGTGGAAGGATAAATTTACTCACAATGCGAAAGCTTTGCGGGAGTGCAGATTAAGAGTTCGGACGGCGAAAAAGCGCATAATTTTTTGAAAGTCTTAAAGGAATAATACAAATTCGAATAATCAGTGTTCTATTATAAATCTCCTCTCATATACTAAAATATTAAAATATTAATATATTCTCGATACATTGTTTAATATATTAAGAATATTAAAATTAATGTTTTAGGATTAATTTTTTAAGAATATTAAAATTAACGACTTAAATGAATTAATGTATAATACATATAAGTCATGCAGGACATATCACCTGTATTGTAATTATGCGGTTAATCTAACTGCGGGAATTGCTGTTGCAGTTACAAGAATTGAAAATTTTGTTAGCGCATGCAGTGCGTGTGCGGGGATTCCATAACAACATTATCATGCGTCGTTACAAAACGGTGAATATGGCGTGAATGGATCAATTTACCATGAAAATTAATGCAGACTTTTTGACAATCTTGCACGGTCGGGAAATTATTTCGATTGCCGCCGCATCCGATGTAGAGAAAGGGAAGACATTTGCCGGACTTTTTGTCGAAGTAGGCTCGTTGGTTAATATTCTGATTGTGAGTACAATTTCCCTCCTTCTTGGGTTCGTTACAAATCTCTAATTACAAGTATCCAATTATAAGTGGTGACGTTTTATTGTCACAGTAGTGACAGTGACACATTCATATAGAGATCAATGCAAGAGACATATAGCTGTGACACGAAGATAAAACGCGTGCATGCTAAAGTTAACGACTGCAATGGTTGTTGATTGTACGAAATTTTTCTAGTGAAAATATACAGCGAAGATACATTTGCGGGTTATTTTTACTATTGCTATTTAAAATAAAGATCAAATATCGTTAAAACTTTTCGGGACTCGCTGCGCGCGCGACTCTTTCGTTCCGTAAATCGTCAAGTAAATCAGAAAAGTTAGAAGTCAACATTCTACGTACTTTCTGCTTCCTGCCTCGTGTAATTGCATGAAATTTGGGACGTGCACGGCACTATCTGCATCTTGCACTTCTCCTTATCCAAGTTGTCGTCGTCCTTATCCAAGTCGTCCTTATCCAACAATTGCCTGGATCTCACCTGGATGCCGGACCCGCAGGAGACACTGCACGGCGACCACATGGACCATTCTAAGAAGCGGTCTGCAGGACATGCCTATGGCCGAGAATGAAAAATCGATCAACATAAAAAAAGAGGCTTGGAAGAGTTGTAGAAGCGAATCTCTCCCTCCTCCTTCCTCTTGCCAAGCAGACATTCGCAATAAATTCGAAAAATCTTTCAAACGCGCACTTCCATGAATTGCGTAGACTTCTTTTTTTCTTCGAGAGTTACTTAGTCATGCGCTATTGCTCGAGACATACTAAGACTGCGTTCCGATATTCACTGTCAGTGCTGAAAATTTATAATGCCCATGAGATAAACGCATGCTGTAGATTTTCAGTACTGGCAGTGAATATTGGAACGCGGCCTAAAAGACTATGATAAAAGAAGTTTGCACTTCTAAGTGCATATCAAAAAAAGAACTCACTTTTAGAAACGTGAGTTTTATATTCGTTACTTGTTTCATTGAACGCGAAGCTTCACTTACTATTACATCAATTATTTATTGCCATAAAATAATTCAATTGATCATTACATTCTTTACATAATGCATGTGAAATATTATAAGCATAAATGCATAATTGATGATGACAGTTAGTAACGATTATCAGAATATTGGATTGATTTGTTACAATTGTGATATCACAAGATTGCAATATTTAAAGGATTCTCATCATATAAAACTTCAAATATTTAGAATTTTTTCAATTTTTATCTTAAGGATATTTCTAAAAAATATCTTGATATCTCTAAAATTGAAGTTATCGAAGAAGCTATGAAGAATTGAAGCATTCGAAATTTCTGCAAAGATCATTGTTTGGCATGATTATAGAGACTAAAAGATTCTGAAGTATTATTCGAACCTAACATAATAAAGACAAAAGATTTAGTTATAAAGATTTTTTTTAATTTGCTAAAGTTACTTTTTTATCGCCCTGAACGAGAAAATCCCCTTAATGAGCATAGATTGAAATATGTCTCCTCCCTTTTCTGAGCTCTGTGGCAAGAAAAATATATCGCTTGAAAATGAAAACAAGCAGCTGTATAATCTTTGATCGTAAAGCTATTATACAGCAAGGGAATTTAAAAGCACTCGGAAATGAGTGAAGTAATATTTAAAGAAAAAGAAGAAATTAATTCAGTCGGATACTTGGATCCTTCACTGCGCTTTTGATCTTCGGAGCGCTTTGCATACCCTATACCTATTTCTTGCGTGCACTAATGACATTCTATAAAATATAAAAAAAAGAGCTTGATTAAATTTTTCATACGCCGAGGTGCTTGATTTCCCTTGCTGATATCGCGTGACTTACGTGAGAGTGCCGGTGCCATGGATGAATCTACGAGAAATGGTATAGGTATCGATTACTCGTGCGAAGCTATCGCCGTTGGCTGCCGGGTGATTTAATACTTAGCAAAGCTGCTGGATTCGTTGTAATAAATATCGAGCGGATCGTTTATCCCTTCTACGTGTTCCGTAGAGATACGAAGTATCCGCTTGATATCTATTCGATAAAGTACCGTAAAACAATTAGTAGTTACGCGGAGCGAACTTTTCGACGAACTTGATTCCTCGAAGGACCAAATTGACCGAATTTATTTTATACGTTCAGATGAAACCCGGCAAATGTCAGTCCACGAATTGAATTGCAGTTTAAAAATCAGATCCGAGTCCACCGAAGAAGTAAACGGAGGAGCTCGCGTTCATGAATTCAAGAGGAATTAGTAAACATTAATTAAAAGCAAATTAAGCAGATAAAAAGAGCTTCGCGCATTAATCCTCGAAGATAGACGGGAAAATTCCTTATTTCAATTAATTGTTATCAATCAATTAATTAATTCTTAATCCAAAAAATTTAATGCACAGCTTAAGAATATTTAATCTTGAAAATTAAGAAATCTTAATAAATGATGATATTTTATAAAGCTCTTGCTGACGAAAAATTAATGTCGGATTTATTACAGAGTTCAAATACCGTTTTTTTTTCTGTTACGTAATGTTTAGCGATCATAATGAGCTTAGTTAATAATAAGTTCAGCAATCGTAATTTAATAAAATTTCTCATTTCGCGAAGAATTCGAATTTCAGCTTCGTCGGAAATCTCACTTTCATCTGATCATTTAGTGCCCGATGTGCCTCAATCTTCTCATACCTGCAGCCACTCCTGCCCGAGCTCGTCGTCATTGGGATAATCCTCGTCCATGTCATCGTTGTCGAAATGATTCAGTCGTAGCCTTACCTCCTCCGTAGTGTCCTCGCCCTCGCAAGGCTTGTTCCCGCAATTGATCGTCTGCTGGAGCAGCGGCCCGTGCGGCACAGCCCTACAATGTTTTCGATACCTCTTCTGCCGGAAGTTCCTGTAACGGGTCTTGCTACCCTCGCCGCAGGTGGATGAGCATTCACTCCACGGACTCCACGGAGTCATGTCGCACATTTTGTCGTCCCATGTTGCGCCATGACCACCGTTATTGAGGCTGGCAAATTGAAGTACAATACAAATGAATCGCCGTGAGTATCACAATTTAAACAGATTTTCTAATTATACAGTTTGTCACATTAATAGCATGTGAACGATTGCTCGCATAATATTTGTATATATTTCTTAAAATCAAGAATTTTTATAAATTCTTACTGTCTCGTTACCGAATATACAAAATCCAATCTCCATTGTTACCGCTTATTACCTAGTAGAATTCATTCCACTAAATTTTTAGCAAATGATAAGCAGCGAATAATAACTGCTATATATTTTTTCTATTTGAAAACGTAACTGTTTCCAGCACCAAATTTTTCTCAGCTCATACTTGCTTTCGATATGTTTTATGAACAATATAATAAGTTCAATTGCATGTTATGATTGTATATTTGATAACATGAGAATATATTTAATTATCTATCGAACCACATAATTTTGTTATTTTAGAACAATATATGAGCAATCAATTATATGCTTTTGCGACAAGCTCTTCGTATAGACTAAAATGCTTCCTGTCAAAAGTAGAATTAGAGAAACGAATTAGAAAAATAAATAAGAGGTAGAGCTTTACGCTAGATGAAAATGTACAGAAATTTTTCTAATGATAACACACAGGGGAAAAATTTTAGAAATAACGAAAAATTATTCAGCGAAGAAGGAATTTTGAGAAGATTTTATAAATTAGTTTTTAGTCACGAGAGATTGAGAAGATTATACATACCAATACGGATTCTCCGCGTTGAAGCAGGGTTTTCGACCTGAGAGAGGCGTGCTACATTTGTTCGCATATGATGCAGCTTTGTCGCGATAATCACGTTGTCTCAACTGACTGCCTTTACCGCAGGTAACCGAACATGGAGCCCATTTGCCCCAACTCGTGACTCTACAGGCTTCTATTTAAAAAAAAAATATCGATTACCTTTTTAGATGTTTTACATAAAAACCTCGTGTAGAATTTCATATTAATGTACTTGGAACAAGAATTATGTCGTAATTAGTAATGACTTATCTATGTACAGCGGCTTTATCATGCAATACCTGTCTATAGAACGGAAAGCAAACGGTACGTCGCGAAGCGAAAGATATGTAGTTAGACGAATTGCGCGAAGTAAGAGCAAACAGTCGCTCTCACCAAGACTTATCCCGTTTTTAAAACAGTCCTCGCATGAACAATTTATTAGGGAATAATTATGCGGAACTGCACATGACGTGGAGATGCATGATGAATGTTACCTTAATCGTTCAACTTCGCGGAAACTCGTTCACGAGTTTCAGTGTTTCAAAAACTGGCGTTTAATTCTGTAATTTTTCTCCCCTCGGTGAGATGTGTAAATTTTTTACATCTCGTCGAGAGAGAACTCGCGAGTCGGACATTAAAGCGCTGCTTTAAAATTCCCAAGTGATACAATTAATTGTCGTAAATTCTCCACGAGCGCGCTTTCTTCGAGCGATATTTTCTGGTTTCTTTCTTTTTCTCCTTTACTCAATTCGTGTCCACTGCACCTGCATCAGTCAGCGTATCGCCGGCGTCGTCGCAGGTCTTCTCGTACAACCTCTGCCTGTTGAGGTAGAGCTTCGCGAGGGGTTTCATGTCCAGACCAGACGGATCGTAAAAAGGCGAGCTCGAATTGTTCGGATCCGTCGACGTGATACGTCGTATCGGCTCTTGCGGGTCCGTTCGTGAATCATTTGACTAGTAATTAATACGAGAAGTAATTAATAATAAGTACTATTTGACAAAATAATTATAAATGTTCGCTATAAGATAGATATATCTCTCTCGTATAAATATCTCGGAATTCCTTGTTCGGCGAAGGATCTTCCGTAGATTTCATTTCCCTTAACATTTTTTTTCTCCGTCCGATCGAATTTACTGTTATCTCAATTCATTTAATTCTTATGTCTTCCTATATTTTGCAAGACATCGCGATACGTAGCGGTCAATAACACAAATAGATTCGCTGTTACAAGAGTTACATATTAACAAATTCCCGCAATTAACGAGAAAGATGGATTTTTCGTGAGAAAAATAAAGAAAGAGGTATAGAAGAAGGAAAAATGCCGAGAGAGCAACGACGTCAGCGATTTTGGTTGCGTACGAGGGTGGCTATTATGAACTGATAAAATTAGGTATTCTCTCGAATGAGGAGGGGTTATCATACGATCCCTTAACGTATCTCTTTTTTCGAGTAGCCCTCCACCCGCTCGGTGGAGTACAAATCAACCGTGCTTATCTTGATGCGGGAATCCCGCTTTGGGAATTTTCAATCGATTTCTTTTTTCTCTATAAAATACGCTAAAACACTTGTCAATTATAAAATTGTAAGGAACTGAAAATAAAAATTAACATCTGTTCACTTACCATGTATGAAATCCCATTGTCGGTTCCCGCATCATAAGGATACAAATTTAATTGTTTGTGTTCTACCCAGGTACAATTAGGCAGACAAAGTTCAAGACCGGAAACACCTACGAACCAATCCGGCGAAGGGACTACGGAAAAATTTAAATTAATGAGCGAGGCATTATTATACTTAATTAATGCAAATTTAATGTGTTTTATATAAAAATTAATCTTACAGATCATAGATACTAAGGACATTAAATGGTGCTTTTTGTCCACTCGAAACACAGCAAAGGTCCTGCCAGTAACATTCGGATAACTGATTCCTCTTGCCTTTATTATAGTCCTGATGTGTTCGCTCTATAAGAAGTAAACTCCTAATAATAAATGTTGCTGATAATTTACACACACACACACACACACACACACATATATCTACGTTTATATCGTATAAATATATGTCTCTTAATAATTATGTTTACAAAGAACTATTTTTGGATTTCTGAAGAGTTCCTAGAGTTTTTAAAAAATTACAAGCAAAATCTGTATGATACCAAATTGATACTTTCTAATTAATTAATTAATTCGACTTATAACTTAATTATTCAATTGGAAAGAATCAGTTTGGACGATACAGATTTCGATGGATTGCCGCTGCCTTCCGAGAGGTAGCGATCGAATAAAAATCTGCTGTTTCCAGTCGGATTTGAATCTGAATCTTTGGCACTGAAAGCAGACACACAACTTTCTGCGCCATGATCGGTACACAATATAAATGAGAGGTAAAAAATTAAAAATTAGTTTATCTTAAAAATCTTAAATAATAATACGGGAAATACGACAAGATGGATAAAAAACTTTCATAGAGATGTAGATATAGATCTAGGAATGTTCGATTCTGACATATCGCAACTCTTACTCGATCCTTTAACTCGGACTCCAACTTCCGCGTCGCACCGAATTCAGCCACCTGTCGCAATCCTTCGCTAGCATTTCCGTTGTAATGCCAGAATCGGTAATCGCCTGTGTGCGACGCGCCGATCACGTCTGAAAATCGGATCAGCCAGCCCTTGCTAGGGAAATCCTGTAGGGAGACAGGAATAATGAATGAACGACAATAAATCCGATCGTCGGACGTGCGAAGACTTTCCCATATATGATTTGATCGCGATTCCAAATATGCCGAATACACGAAAGAGATGCTACGGAGTCTCTGTTTTTCAAATACTTCAGCTCGAGAGACATTGTCCAAGTTTTTCTATTTTTTAACTCTTTCATCGGCAAATATAATATATTTTTCTGTTTTATTATTTATACATAGTCGACATTAATTGTTCTCTCTCTAATCTCTCTTTAATTGTTGGAGAAGTAACACCTTAGAAGAGTGCAAATTCGCAACTTGCGAAACATTAAATCTGTAATACAATTGTCGCCGACACTTGTTCACGTACTTTTGGATGTGTATTTCTAGACCACAGGCCTTCGAACGTGACTTCAAATTTTGCCTCGTCGCAGGCACAGCATTCTGCAAGAACCGGGCCCTGATCGTCGGCTTCCGCTTTTGAGTCCTGGCATGGTTCGAGTTTCAAATTTTCATCATCCATGTACCATGTATCTATCGTCTCTAGCACTGTCGCTCTGCAAGAAAAAATAAAAGAAAAATGTTACCGATTGCATGGATATTAAGACCTTTTGTGTATCACATAAAAGACTGTTAAATTGTCAAACAATGATATATTTATGAAATATACGATTATGTTGAATATATTAAATGTATGTGCAAAATTATATTAAATATATGTGTATAAACAACGTGATATTGCAAAATATATTTTGTAATATCTATACATGCATTTAAATAGCGTACACCTGCAGCAAGAAATATAATACTAGCATTTAATTCTGTTTTAAAGATAAATAAACTGGAACAATAAATATCACAATAAATACGTTTCGATCCCTTTATACATCGATTTTAAATAAAATCCTTTAATGCAAATACTGCACGCTGCGAAATTTTACGTGCCGATAAAATAGGCATATAAAAGTATTTTATACATGTTTAATCGTACGTGCAAACATGTTTAAATATTAGTTTTAAATATTAGTTATATTTCGCAGCAGCGCGTTTAAAAGTTACGCGTAATTGCTATTTAATGTCTTTTGAATGTTGCAAAATGAATATGGTTTTCTATTTTTCTGCGTGTTCAAAAGCGTATACCTCTCTCATATATAATTTTATACGTATGTACATTAATAACATATTATAATATTGACATTTAACTTATAACAAGAATGATGTTGCCACTATCTAATTTGTTTAAACTGTTATCCTGCAACTGTCGCGAAATAGATATATCATTATGAATTAATAAGATCGAGTATTCCTTCATCCCCACCTGAGAAGGATGCAACCGCTACCTTCGGCAGGGCTGGTCCATATAACAGATATCTCTTCCTTCTGCAAATTGCTTGTCTCCACGACGGCGTTCGCGCAATTATCCGCGAACTTGGTCATCGTATCGTCCTCAAGATCGAAAACGCCGACATCGGCCGTCTCGTTTGCGTTCTTGGGCTCGGCAGATATGAGAAATCTCGTGAACTTCCGGCGCATCTGTTCGGTACTGTCGGTCTGCAGGACCACTAAAATAATCGGCGATCTTTATTTGATACGTCCGCATTGCATTCCGCTTTATAGAATGTGAACGCGTTTTGTATGGACGCGATGCAATTTTGCATATAAACGAATAATGTGCTTGTGTATTTGTTTGTATAAATAATATCTATGTGTGTATGAGAAAAGATTATATTTGATGGCATAATATGGGATTTAATAAAATGCTTTTACATACAACAATGTAGAATATGATAAAACATCACAAAATAAATTTAATAAAAATCGCATGTGTATATTATAATAAATTATTTTTTTGCATGCGTTTTTTAATAGACGTATGTAATTATCCTTATCTATTATAATAGAATCCCTTTTTTTTACAAAGGAAGTAATTTTATTAAGATTATTATATAATGCTTGCAAAATTATTAATTTTTTTGCGTGCGGCTGGATATTATAAAAAATTATTACAAACCAACCGTTAGCCCGCATAGGCGTTACTTCACTATCGTTGTATTCATTTTTTATATAGAAAATATGAAAAAAATGAATAATAGTAAATTACAACGGTTTTTTCAAAGAAGTTTTCTTTAAAATTTTTATGTATACATTGTATATGTATTACATACATATACACACATACACACATTCATTGATAGCAAACAGAAATTGCCATGTCAGATGATTCCGTTCTGTATTATTTTTCTCCATTAGTCACTTAGAAATAAAGTAGGTCAGAAAGTAGGTCAGAAAGACGAATTCCATGGAAGAATATCGAATCCATTGCAGTAACAACTTTTACAGAAGTCCAGCCTCATATGTATGTACAATAAATAATTACTGACATTCTGGAATATATTTGTATTTTATTGCACTTCGAAATATGGAAAATGTGAATTTATTCGATTGTTTATTCTCATTTTCTTTCGCGCGCGTTCTGCTTCGTCTTTTATAATCGCCGTTGAAAGCAATGGATTTTACACGCGCAATATCGGTACGCAGCAGATACACGGGCTTCGTATCAATACCTTTGCAAGTCACACATTTTATTTTACATACTTTGATGCGCAGGAAAACAAACAGACAATTGTACGCATCGAGCTAGTGCTGACGCAGCGTCAAAGAAGAGATAATACTCGGGGAAATGGAGGATTCGCAGGGTAAATGATACAGGAGGAGGCTGAAAATCGCTGTGCGTAATAGAGTGACCTAACAGAGCGTATACACGTTGGTGTTTAATCTGAAGCTAGTTTATCAAATATTCGCGAACATAATTAATTAATAATGCATCTTTTTCATCAGATTGGTATTATTATCTATTGTATCACTCACAGTCGAGTTATATGTATAAATAGTACTGCCTAAGACAGACGCGAATTGAATTCTAAATTTTTTATATACAAATTATTACACACATTTTATATACAATTATTATATGCAAAAAATTCTTCCGAGTTTTAGTAGTAAATATTTTAAGATTGTAGATCAATATATTTTCATTAGAAATAATTTGTTTCAAATTGATTAAATATGCAGATATTTGAAAACAATAAGAAATTGATATTTAGTGTTGTATATCAAATATTGATGAATATACTTATTTGATATTCTTATTTTTAATTGAGATAATATCTGCATATCTAATTGTATTATAGTATCTCTATATGCATACATAGTGCGGTCCGTAAGAAATCGTATAAAATGAAGAATACATTATAAAAATATTTCAAACATTTTTTTTATTCAAAATAGGTTTTTTACAATATACTGCTTTGCTCTTTTATTTTCAATTTTTGCATTACCATTGAGAAATGATCACCATGATCACTTCTCTTTTGTACGTCTTCAATTGATCGGTCATAATGACTGGAATTTTTGGAATATTGTTGAATGGCTAAAAAAATGTCATACTCAGTTACATTATCCATTCACCTAACGTCTCTTTCTCTATTTTTCATTTCCAAAATTGAAATTGCAGTTGAAAAACAAGATTCGCTATTTCAGAAATTCAAGCTATTGATTGTAAAGGATCTTATGTTGAATAAAAAAAGTTCAAATATTCAAATGTTCAAAATGTTTTCTTAACGTGTTCTAAATTTTATTTTTGTCTTATGAACCGCACTGTAAAAATATATATCTCGCTATATTTTTAGACAAATACTTTTTTTAATGCAAATTATGGATCTTTTACCATTAGACTTATGTACTGTGCAATATAATCTACTTGGAGGATATAAAATTATAATATTATAAAACGCATCGGCAATGTATAAGGCAATGGACAGCAATGATACTTCTACTTTATAAATTCAATACTCATAGCTTGTAATTCTTATTAATTTTGCAACTTGTTTCTTATATCGGGTTTATTGCTGTATTTTATATATATATATATATATATATATATATATGTGTGTGTATATATATACATATATACATAGCTTTTATAATATTTTATTATATATCATCGTAATTAAATAACAAAAAGAGTTTATTACTACAAATTGTTATCATTATAATTTTCGGCGTAATCGATCGTATCTATAAAAATATCCCGATCGAATAAGGGCGTTCAGAAACTTTCGTTTTGTTCGCGTATAGTCCGTAATTGATTGCGAGCGAAAACAAAATTCTGCATCTCCTCCCGCGCGGGAGGAAAAATTTAAACGATCGAGAGAAAACTTTTAGCACGGGGTATGAAAAACAGTCAAGGATTTCGATGGAGGAAGCGTTGCGCTCAGTTCCTCTAGACACAGGAATATTGATTTAATTCTGGAAAACACACGGAATAGCGCATAAGGAAAAATGTACTGAGCTTTATAGTATTTTCTAAAACTGTCGATTCATCTTTCGTTTGCCGACTTCTTCTCTGCAGTTTCTTTTTCTTTTTTTTTTTTTTTTTTTCAAACATCAACAGATACTATCGTTAAGGTATAACATTTGTTATTGCATGAATGATTGCACGTGCATGAATATCGACTTATAGATTTCCTATGTGTCGAAGGAATATTCGCGTTCTCGGAATAGAAACATGTATCCAGCCCGGGTATACCGGCCCGCGCTATTTATAGCATGGATTAAACACGACACATCGTGAATCCGCCACTGCGTTCAAGGGGATTCAAGTGTATTTCATTCTCTATTACGAAATATTCTTTAACACACGAATCTCTAAGCGTGCTACATTTTACACGCGCGACCTTATTTTAAACGATTTAGGTCTCTCTAAATTATCGCTCTCCATTTACAATTCTTTCTAAAAAAAAAAACCATGACATCGATATTCGCATCTTTTAATTATTGTCGCTTTTCCGCGATGCCGATTGGTTTTCTCGCAGCGGTTTACTTCGTGAGCGGCTGTCATGGCATATTTTAACAGTTGTATGTACTGAAGCTGATAGAGTGAGTGTAGGTATAGCAAATATAGTAAAAGTGAAAAATATTAAATAGCGCGCGCGAAGCACTGTAATAAATGTTAGTCTTAATAAAATAATCATTTTTTATTATTTGATTTTAAATTATTTATATAGTAGTTTCGTATTACATATAATATCCAGTTAATAACAATCAAGATGACAATTAATGTATTTGAAATATAAAAATTGCATCGAATTATTCTTTCTTCGAAGAAGACATTAAATCGTGTGAACGTAAAAAAAAAGTTACGTAAATTATTAGAACAAACATTTGAAAGTATCGCGAAACGGTCGCAAGGTTGTTCATTCCATAGGTCACTTTTTACGTTGTGTATTGTAATACTCATTGTCAGCTGTTTGGAACGGTATGGCTTCCGATGTTACAGGTCTTCTTGGACTACATCTCTTTATATACGTAAGTCTTACACATTGGCTCTTAATCTTCGAATTCACGAGAGAGAGGGATTTTAAGACCTTGCAATATGCACTTTTCTCCGATATTCTTCTAACACCTTCGATCAAAGTTTCTTCCTTCCCCTGCGTTACTCCTAGAGGAACTTTAAAACTAAACTTTCAATAGTATTCAATTTAAAATGATCGAAATCGTACTTTTGTTACTTGAACAAAATTCATTAGGAAGTCATGCTCAAGGTTTAAAAGCTTTCCCGAAGCGATTTAAAATCAATAATAAATTATACATTTACATTTGAAGGATTATTAATCACGATGTTTGATTTAATAAAAAAAAAAAAAAAAAAAAAGTAAAAATTAAACAAAAAGACAGTAATTATTGATAGAGTAATTTAAGGCAGAGTTTTGAAATTATTGCATTGTACGTGCAATCTCTTCAATCAATTCTTTCTTTAACAATAGCCAATTTTCTTTGACAGAAAGATTTGCATATTTTTATGTAAAGTGTTGCTTGTGTAAAATTACATAAAATACATATTTTCGAGCATATATACGCTTGCGATATATTATGCTTATATCTATATGCCAGGGATATTTGCAGTACGAAACTTCATTAATGAAATCTAATCTATGTATGTTTATGATTTACCGAAAATCGATAACGGTAAATTAAGCTAAAAACTCGGTAACCATCAATTCCTCCGATAGCCTGCAATTCTAGAGAATCGTTGTATTTATCGAGGCTCAAATTCGTCGCGTTAGAAAGAGCGATGACAATGAGTCACGATGTCCGCGTTCACCTCCCGCACGATCATTCTCATAACCCTGAATTAAAAGAATTAGCGGCAAAAAACGTAGTTAACTGAGACCTTCGTCGGGCTATCGTGTTTCCTGCGCACCAACGAGCCGCCCCCGGACACGCGAGAATGTCAGAAGAGGATCGCCGGCTTGTCGGCGACGAGGAACAGCGAGTAACTTCGGCGATCGCGGCGATTCGCTTTCGTCTTTTCGCTTTATTCTCGAATAATCGCGTTTTCTCGAAGTTTCATTCGAGATTTGCTCGACTCTCGCAAGATGCGAGCGAAGCTTGTTTTTCTGATCGCGACGCAAACATGCCAAATCCTATATTTCGCGAGATTCAGTTCCCTCCTCTTCCGCCTTCAGAGATAGATCGATATCAATCCCGATGTTAGGGATGCCGATCCCACTCCGGCAGTTTTCAAGTCGCTCGAAACTTATCAGATGATCGAATCTGACCCCGGGAATCGGTTCGAACACGATATTTTTGCATCACGCCCGTGTGATGCTGTCCGATCCACCGAGATTCAGCGCTGAATTCGTTCGTCGAAAGCTCCGAGTTTTCATTCGCAGCAAAGCGGATTACATGTAGAGCCGAACAATAGTGTCTGTCTACGCGCGTAACGTTCCCTCAACGGTAACACAACGGCGACGGGATGAATTATTAATCGATCTCGTGCTGTAATGAACGGGCGCGTTCGCGCTTTACAGTATCGCACACGTAAAATATCGCTATTTTCTCTCTCTCTCTCTCTCTCTCGCTCTCTTTCGGCGCGTGGCTGAAATTCCTCAAATAATCACGATGCGAGACGACGACCACGGCGGCGATTGGCGTGGAATTCAGCGAAACAAGTAATCTCGACGGACACGTAATCGCACGGCGTTGGTAAACAATAACACTAATTTGCGCAAATTCGAGATCGCGATCAAGTGAGGGAGAAAGGGAGGAAACTCTTTCTCACTTCCACGACGCTACCCTTAGGTGTTAAATCCACTCGTCTGACTGAAGCAAGTAAAAAAAAAAAAAAAAAAAACCAAGAAAGCATTCTCGATATTTAAAATGTAACGACAAAATGAGAAAATGAGAGTCAAGCGTAGTTTGCAAACTACATACGCTTGATTCCCAGTAAAAAAAGATGTGGGAACGCTTTCGCGCTTTTAGAGATACGTCTGACCGCGCGCTGCATTATCTATTACTACTTACACGGCTCGTCGGATCTGCCCCGGAGAGAAAAGCCGGAGCGTTTTGCGAGTAATGAGGCTGTTGTTACTCGCGGATGATTTAGGGTGTACCGCGTATGTGGTTTGAAATCTATCGCGCTTTTAAAGTAGTATTCAGTTAATCGGGCACTCGACGTTAATAACGCGACGGGCCGTGTAACATCAGTCACTAATCATGTAATCAACTGCACCTAATTAGCGAGCATTATCCAGAATGGCGCGGCTCCACGGCTTTTAATACGAAAGAAAATGAAAATTTATAGCTTCATATTTAAGATTAATTAACGTCGCAAATTCGCGGTGTCACTTGCACCGACAGCCTCCGTTAACTTTCGCGCTTAAGTAATTCGTTGACATTTTCCGGATTATAACTAACTACAAGGACTATAATTAGCACTCATTTCGCAACGATCTTGAAATTATTTTGATTAATCCCGCAAGTCCGCCGTTTTCAATCGTCAATCACTCGGAGACACTTATAAATACGTCTCGACATTTTTCGTTGAGGAAAAATTTCGAATTAGCCAAAAGAATCAGCAACGCGAAGGAACATCCGGCAGTTTCGATCTATACAGACGAAGAGCGAAGATCTGCTCGTGATTAACAGCTACGTTACCCGTATATAACGTTGATTGTGCCAGGCCCTTCACGGCACCCTTCACCGCATTGTTTCGCGACTCTCCATTGCGGTAACGGCGCAATAATTCTCCCGAGTTTCCTCGGCTGTGGCGTCCTCTTCTTCGGGATTTAACCCCTCGGGGGCGAGCGCGGGTCTCCTCGCCAGCGCGGCGGTCGGCGCGATTTAATAGAATTTTATCGGGTCGGGGCCACGTTGAATTCGCTTGCGTTAAACCTGCGAGCGCGCGACGCGGCTCGCGGTGTCTCGCACCTGGCGTCCCGCCAGCGTTACGTAACGCATTAATTCACCGGGCACGAGAGATTTGCATGCGTTAGTATATGAACACCCATCCAGACGCCGGGGAGCTAAGTTTTGCGAGAGTGGAAGAGACGGAGATGGAGAGAAAGAGAGAAAGAAAGCGAGAGCAAGAGCAAAACTTTATTGAGCCGGATCGTCGGCCGAACAAACAGAGAAGTTTCCCTAGGAAGCATCGGAATTTATATCAACACGCGGAACCGGTTTAATCTTAGCATACGTCGCGCATGAAGTGGCGCGAAAGTGCTCGCGCAATGAGAAGATTATAAAACGATTACAATTGTGCCCCGATTGTGTCCCGTTTTTTATATTACGCTGTAAAATACGCTGAGTCTCGCCACGAATAGAAACACGCGAACACAAAATTTTAACTCCGTAATCATTCGAGAAAGAGTTTATGTTAGAATAATACAAGAAACGTGTAAGTACATAACGAAAGAGCAGAATTTGATTAAGAAAAGTCAATGGCTGTCGTCAGTTTGTTACATGCTAAATTATGCCTCGCGGGAGAGAGACGCCCTTCTGCACGAATCGTTCCTATCGACATAAATCTCCTACATTTCACCGTAAAATTCTGATTGGACGATTATAGTCGATGGGATTTCTCGCTAAGGTATGAGAGGGTCGTTGCGGAAGTATCTATCCCCGGCGTATCGAGAGGCCCGGGACTACTACGGTCATCGATCCAGCTAACGATATCATGTCGCGCGAGTTGATGATACTCGATATAAAAGATGCGGAAGAGCTGTAACGATAGCTGCAGTCGAGCTTGAAAAATGTGTCGGCATCGAGGGCAGCGTAACTAATTGTCAGTAAAGAAGCAGTTCTGCGTAGAATATAGAGTTATAAATTAGTTAGAGAATTAGATAGATAATATAGAGGTCATCTGTAAAGAGCTATATGCATTTTAGATAACATACTGACAAATTGTTAACAATAATCATAAACGGTAGTTTAATACATCAGTAGTTACTCATAATTATAGAGCGTAATTATAGAGATATCGATAATTAAAAGGTTTCAACAGGACTAGTTAGATAAACTTAAATACATTTGATTTATATACAATGATAAATAAGATAAAATTAATAGCGCATTAAACTACGCGAAATATAAATTGATGAGCTTTAACAAGGATTTAATTACTTAAATTTAATCGTTAAGAAATTTAATTTGTACGAGTATTAGTCGATTTTTTAAAAAAGAATTCACCAAATCCATCATCAAGGAACATATATCGTCAAAAAAGTTGTAAGATAGCGGGTCGTCTCATGTAACGTGTCCAGCTTTCCGACGAGGAACGATTACCAAACCGCAGTCGCGCGCGAAACCGTCACAAAGCTAATCGGTCAAAGTTCATAGCGGGTCTCGGCATTTATCCCAACTTTCAAGGCAAAATGACCTTTTCTTTCTACCACCGCTTCCCGAATCTCCGCCCCGCCTTGCGCGATCCGCGCGGTCGTTTCCGCCGGCCGGAAGAGCGCCGTTTGCGACGCGCAGAAAACCGCGGCGTCCGAAAGATCTACGGTCTCTCCTTCGGTAATTGCCGCAATTACCGCTAAAGGCGTAAAGCCACCGGGAAATCAACGCGCGCGCCCGCATCGCATTTCAGACAGCCATCAAAATGCCGGTAATTGATGACCTCACCGTGCGTTTCAATTTCTCGGCGTCAATGCGTGCGACGATGTTAACGACGGAATTTATTTCACCTCTCTGTTTCTCAAACTTGAGTTTTTATTTTATCGAAAAGAAAAGATCTGATTTTCTTTCTTGATCTCTTCTTTCACATGTTTGCAACCGGTCAAGAAACTTATTTGATAATAATAATTTCAATAAGATGGTTATATATATAGGTTATATATATACAACATAACGGAAACGCTGAAAATTAGCTAAACATTAAAAAGAACAATTTTAATATTAATGATACTAATATCTAACCTCGGCCGAATTTGGCGTTGTTTTTTTACTTATTATTCGATAATTTATCGTAGAAATTTGCTTACTCAAATAAAGATTTATAAGTCAGTTTTACTTAGCGTAATGTTTTAAAATTTTATGATTATTGTTCCAAAATCTCGATAGGTATAATTTACATTAATTATGTATTTACATTGATTAAAAATGTCGCCCACACATTTAATTCAGTAAATAGACGTATCGTATTTTCTGATTCCCTTCGCAGGCGGTTGCAAGTTTTCCAGTTTCCGGTTTATTTGCCATTTTCCTTATGTTACCACATGTAACGCGTTTTACTATTTCACCAATGTCGTAAAGCCAAAGAATGTTGACAAAGCAAAGCAATATCTGACATTTTAAGAGCCTTGGAATTTCGTCTCAGCAAACGTATCCATATAGAAGGCTTATAGAGCATCAAAATTCTGCCAGCATCGAATATTGCAGCGAGCAGCACCGATGGCCTCCTCACGGCAGAGCATCTCGTCGGATTAAGTCGCTGATATTTGAAAATCCAAGTTGCAAAAATGAACAACAATGTCGCGCCTGATGAATTTTACAACGATTTTCACACATTTTAATCATTTAACGCATAATTACTATAATTGCATCAGTTTTTTAAATATATAAATTTTTTTTTAAGTTGTACAATTATTATATGTGTGCAAACGTCTATGTGCGTCATCTTTATGCAAACGATAATTCCCAGAAGGTATCCGAGTGCGATTTATAAATGTCAATGAGAGATCTGCACTTTACTCCTTTTTCTCACGTAGCAGAACTTATTTAAAGTTTAAAAGCATTCAAATGTCACACGGAGGTGACTAAAGCAGTCGCGCTTGTGACTTGGACAACTTCGTCTAACTCAATCGAATACCATTTCCTCGATTCATACATCCTAAATGGGATATGGCACAATAAACCGTATAATATTTACAAAGCAACACCAAATGTAATCTTATCTCTCTCTTTTTTCCACGTATACACGTATACGTGACAGGAAAACCGCGTCAATAATAAGCTTTATTTTTTCACTTTTGTAATATGAATAATAGAATTCAAAATTATATCGACAATCCCTTTGTTCGCGTATATTCTTACCGCTGTATCGGGTGTTCGGCATATAGTTGTTCACAACGTCGGTTCGGTTGAAAAGCGTCAGGAAAAAGTGATATTTGCCCTCGGCGCTGGAGCGCGGCCCGGTGGTGCCTTCTATGATCCGGGAGCATTTTGTCGAATCCGTATAGGTTGCCGATGCGAGCAGCAACAAAGCGGCGTGGCACACAATCCTGGTATTGCACATCGCCTGAAAACAGGGAAAATAACGTATAACAATATTTCATTCTCGTTCGACAAATCGACAACGATTTGCGAGCGTTGCTTGCTTGCGCGCGCGCGTATGTGTACAGTGGTAGTACAGATTATAAAATCAAACATTTCCACATTAAATCGCGGTCGATGCCGATGGAAATCCATACAATTTGTAACGATTGAAAGAGCACGTTCGCTTAAAAATATAATTCTGTGTTTGCTCCCGCGTTTTTGAGATACTCACGTCTTCGCTTCAAATACTATCGGATATCGAAAAGTTTGATGAATTACCGTAGTTCTTCTTTACACTCACTTTATGATAATGCTAGGTTGCACGCCTGAATATGCGCGGAGTTTACGTTACAATTTATATCAAAGATTCAAAACGTGAAACGACTGGGAATAGGTGAAATTAAAATGCAAATTGGTTTCGGGGAGAACAACCGGTGATTCTTGATCCTTCTCACGTTTGAAGCTACGTCGCACATCCTCACGTTCTTCGTTTATTCCCCTATTATGCGTTTCAATTAAAATTCAAGCCAAGGAAAAAATATTCTCGACGCACGGCGCGCAAATTTAACGTTTTGCGATTTAATTACGAGCTGAGCTTATGCTACTGTCAAGCAGATTGAACACGCACGACAAGCGGCTTCCTGTTTTAGAAACTATATATATTCCGAAGAGAAAAATATCGAAATAAACCAGAGGTAATTGTTAGCTAAATAAAATATCAAAATTAAACCCGATTTAGCCTTTTATACACAAGAAAAATAATTCTTTTTTTAATGTTGTGCCTCTGAAAAAGAATATAATCCGAAAAAAGATACCTAATTTTATTCGCTGCAAAATCGAGAATTGGAACGATCAGTCTTCAATCTTGGAATTCATCGTTCTTTCATCGCTATAGATTTTGTGAAAATATATATAACGATGAACGGGGACAAAAGAACTCCAAGACTGATCGTCCCAGTTCTCGATTTGATTCTGCGAACAGCTCAGTAACGCCTCACGTAAGACAATTCAATCATTAAATGGGACGTCATTTTTTGACATCGTGAAAATTGGTTTCTTCAATTCTTTACATGTTTAAAAGAGAGAATCTTCCAGAGGGAGTTAATTGAGGAACTGAACATTGTTGAGATGCAGAAACTACATCTCATTCCGAACTTGAACTAACTCGTTTCGTTCTAACTGCAAGCGACAAGCGATCGCGACTGCGAGATTGCGAACGGTGGGTGCACGTGAGTACCGCGGGCTAGAGCGGTGCCAACACGTGAGACAATTGCCCTCTCGCAGTGATCACGTGTTCGGTGTAACAAAGCGCTGCTGAAAATGCATCGACACTGAGTCACCCGGCGATCTTGGCAGAATCTTGGCGCCGAACTGGATACCTAGAGCCGCTTGCGCTTTTCCCGGTTCATTGAACGAGCACACGTTCGAAACATCCGAACATGTGGTAGTAAAGGTGAGACATAAAGTATCGCTGAAGCAGAACAGTTTAAGCATATTTCAATCTTTTTCATTTCTAACTCGGAATAAAATATTTATGTTACGATTAAAATATTTAAAGATGCTAAAGATATTAAAGATATTTTTATACTAAAGATTTTATGATTATAATATTTATATTAAAGTAAAAATGATATTAAATCAAAATTATGTTAATTGTATAAATAATGTAAAGTATAATAAAATAACGAAGTTGCAAATTACAATTCACTATTACGTTTGAGGAATAATTATATATAATCAATATAACTAATGTAATATAAAATACAGAACATTTAGGTTTCTTTCTTAATATCGTTAAAATAATTATGACAAAGCGAAAACAAAAAGAGAGAGGGAAGAGATATTCCGATATTTATTTAATTAAAAATAAATACGCGCACTCATTAATGATTAATGTATAATATTAACTCCAGTATTTTCCAATGAAAATGATAAATTGCTAATTATGTGTCGCGGTCCGAATTATTGAAACTTGCGAATTTCGCAAAGTTTTGCAGCCATTACGTTTTAATGGACAAAAATTGACGTATGCTGAATTTTACGTGTGACGATGACGTGACCCATACACGACCCGATATCGATATGCGAGACGGAAAATGCGGTGCTTGTATACGCCGTGCGACACGTTGATCCACGAACACCACCGGCCTCTAATAAGTTGGTTAACCATAAATCCCAAGCGCCTAAATATATTGCGCCAAGCCGGTGTATATAGGGCATGGCATTTCACTCTGCCTGGCATTCTGCCATGTTCGTTCCCTCGGCCATGGGACACCAACAGGAACTCAAACAATATCTACCAAGAGACCGGATCGCTACTACGCTCGGTTTTCCTGCAATTGGCGTTTACATTGTTGAAATTATATTATTGGGTGTATATCCAATTTGAGACTCGTATGACAACGTCGAGAACAATACAAAATTATTAAAAATACATAATAAAGTATAAAATACATAGTAAATTATTAAAAATACATAGATTATTAAAAATAAATAAAAGCGATTGTCGATAGGAATATAGATTGTCATGAAATTGTCTTATTTTATTATTTGCATAGAAAATATTGAAAAAGAGATTGTACAGATTTCCCAATCAAATTAATTCATAAATTCACAGATTTCTAAAAGTATAAGTCTGCGGATTTATGAATTTACTTATTTAAGATAATGTGAAAGCTAATTACTCTCCTGATAAATAGACTGTGATTAATTATTCATAATTAATAATTGCAATCATTTAACAAGGTTCTGATTATTATTAAATAATCGCATCTATCAATAAGTTTTAATAATTGCATAAGATTTATTAACAGTAAATCTCACTTTTTGTTTATGTACAAAGCACGTTAAGAGAGCTATATTGTCAACGATTTGAAAACTAATTAAACAGAATAGTAATTACATTTAACAAAAACTAACGTTTATTCGCTATGTTGACGAACGCGCGCGATTGTTAATTAATTTCACGCGGCCAAGCCATTGAATCCTTTATCTGTGAATAGTATATTACAGGATTTTGCAGCTAAAGCAGGGTAAAATGTCGGATAAATAATAAATTAATTCCTCTCATTTTGTTAATTTATGACGTTGTTATTTCACGTCAGTTGAATACGCGAATAATCGATTTGCGCAATAACATCGTAATTGCGATGCATTTCTAATTCGATGAAAAGCACTTCTAGATAATTAGCACGGCAATTAAACGGTCAAACGCACAATTCTAGAGTGCCACTTGCCGTATTTCTGGCATATTTGTTTTATATTATCATTCATACGAAAGCGGGATTCCACCGAGATTTCATGCAACATTTAATGTTTCAACCCTTCGGGATCGAAGCTCGTACCTGAGGTCGTTATCGAACTAAATGAAGTTACCGGATGAATAAACGGCAAAGTCGTACGAGAAGGATGTCGGGACGAAGGATGACGGGGCTTGGGAGGGACTCGCATCGAGGAAAGTGTAACTCCGAACGACGGATTGCCAGCTAGCGACGTCAATATGTCGGCCCGGGACTTTGGGAAGAAAAACGAGGGACGCGCGATGAGCGGGGCGAGGACCTCATCGGCGATATTACGGCGATCAAAGCCGCGGAATGGGGCGCTTAGAGAAGATAGAGAGGCGTATTCATATCCTTCGTCAAATAGACGACTTGATATTTAACGGAGCAGACGTCCGCGTCGCGATAATAATTTTCATCGAAATAACCGTCAACGACACGCGGTATATCGTGCTGTCGTCATCGCATTTCTTGCCTCTTCCCTACCTCTGTCTCTCCGTCTTTCTTTTATTTACTTAAATGTATCTTTCACGGAAAATCGCGATCCGGAGAGATTTTATATCGCTGTAAAACATGTTCTACTTTACCAAATGCTTTCCGAAGAAAATTGCGTTCCTGATGTTACCTCTTGACAGGATATTCTTCCCTGCAATATGCGACCGTTATATATCATTATACTTCATGAAAGTGTGCGCTTTGGGACGCGAACTTTAAAAAATCTTTTTTAATTTAATAAAAAATTAACGATCAATTGCAAGTATTCCTTTTAAAGCATCAAAAATATCGGAGAAATATCTTTTATTTGTTATTAATGGGTTTGCTTCCCGTGTAAATTCGTATTTCTTTATTCTACAATTAATATCACGGAAATAAGTGGTCCATTAATTCCATAAGATTTTTAATAAGTTTGTCAACGAATTTATTTTCATAAAATTTTTGATATTTTTAGTATTTGAATATTTTTTTGTGCTTCAAAGAGTCAATATAAATGCACATTAACGAAATGCTTTTTATGAACGCCTGTCTCGCCCAGCTGTTGTTCACTATATTCACACGGAAGCGTGTAAAAAACTACTCTCCCTCCCCCTCTCTCTTTCTCTCTTTCTCTCTTTATCTATCTATCTCTCTGAACGACGATAAAAGCTGACGTTTTTTTTTTTGTCAATCTGCATCACCGGCATTGAACGTGTAAAAGTTCGTAAAAAATTTAGGATATCCAACTGTTCGGCGAACGCTTCCGGGTGAAGCATTGATTTTCCACTTGAAATAGTATCGCGGGCCGATAAATGCCGTCATCGAGATGTTCGTCGCGCGTCGATGAACGACCGAGCCGACGCAAACCCTCCGCGGTACTGATTAAATAAATCTATAGTAATTCTGTAGTAGAAAGAGAGAGAACAGGGGCTCGCTGCTCGTTGAACAATTCGTTTCATTAGCGGCTGTCAGAATGAAACGATTGAATAGTTACCAAATTACGGATGGCATCGATTTGAACTGTTGCTCCGTTAACGCTCGTTACACAAATTGTACCGCACTTCGTATCACGAATCGTCATTATTTCAACATTTTCGCATATTAATCAGTTGTATCGTTATGTATTTACGTTAAAATTTTGAACGTTCAGTATGCCATATCTGATATTAATATACGAGAGTATTTCGAGGCTTGTTATTCAATTCAAATTTCTCAATCACTTCGGAATTTGACCAGAATTTGGTCTAGAATTCAGAGGTAGAATCCTCAATCAACATTCTATTCCATTTCATGTACTTGCTTTCTCATTAATAGCGATGTAATGGATTTGTATTAGAAGTTACCATTAAAAGTGACGCTAAAATAAGTGTCAGTCTGAACAATATCTCAATAACTACTCCCAGCGATTCGTCGGGATTGCAAATCTTCGACTGGCCGACTCGCAAGAAAGATCCGGCGCGACACGTATTCCCGTCGGCGCTCGTGTATAAGAAGCGAAAATGCACTTCTGCAGCCGTCGTCGCTGGCACAGAAATCACCGCGGTTCGATCGCTTTTTATCCGACTTATCCGTGTTGCCGGGGTCGCGCGCGTCCGCGCGTCTCTCTCCTAGCTGCTTCGCTTTTTCCGCATCCCGCTGCCCTTATCTGCTCCTGCAGAGCCAGCCCGGCAATACGTTCGAATAATGTGCCTAGTCGCGCATAAGAGAAGCACTCTACACGCTTGACTGCATGACAACGAGCCGATCGAGTAGAAGCGCCAGCGAATATTTCAATTCGGATGCGCAATTGCACTTTATCATTACCCAAATGTCAATCACGAAATATAATCAAGAGCGTTACAAGCAGCATTCGATCTAAGCGATCGAACATTTATGCGTGACGAGTATAATACGTGTTTTTGTACAATTAAACTCGGTTGTTTTACAACGTTTTACAACGTTTCGTTCCGATTACATTTCGCGAACGCATATGCATTGCTTGAATCTTGTTTCTATTTTTTTGTATCCCTATCTCTCCCACCGCATGTTACAAAACGCGCGTTATTTGAGTTTCATTCGATAACAAGCGACACTGGCGTTTATTTCACCATCGACAAAGAGGACAAAGGTGATTCTTCTCGCAGGGAAACGCACGTCACATGCAATTATATGAGAAAGTACACAAAAGCTTCCTCGAAATATGCCCAGAAGCGCGACCTAGCTGTCATTCATTAAGAGAATGCGGTTGCGTCTCGTACTCTAAATATATCCGTGCGCATCTCTCTCTCTCTCTCTCTTTTCTCTCTTTTTCTTTTTTTCTTTTTCTCCCCTTACGAGATGGCATCTTCAGAAATGCGACATAAAATTGTATCCTCCAAAGATTCTCTCGTTATACATACATAAGTACAATCGAGGATATTCAAGTAAGTGGGTACTCACCATAATGCCGCTCGTGTAGCACGAAGTATACGTAAAAGTCTCTTCCGCCCTTCGCGCGAGTCACGTGCGTTTTCCAACGCGGCAGGGAAACACACCCGTGACACATCCGCCACCGCCGCGGACCTTCGGCTGACTGACAGCCGTCCGACCGGGCCGTTACTACTTCAGACGGGCCGGGCGTGCGCAGGGCGCGACGCGCTCCGAATAGTTTTTTCTCTACGCGATGATTTCACATGACACGCGAGTTTTAAATTATTTTGATTGTTTGATTTAAAGCAGTTAATTACGAACTCTTCCATCCATAACATGTGGATACAAAATGCCACCAATTTTGTTAAAATCGTTGAAGCTAATGATTATTTCGCTCTACCTCTTTTTGTGACTAAAATTTAGTATAACTTCTCTAATAAATAAATTTATAATAAAAATAATATGTTCTTTTTACGAAGGAGTTTAATAGGAGTTATCTAATTCTCTAATTATCAAATTTTCTAATTAGTTATTCGTTAATATATCGAAGCCTATCGAAGTTCAATTGATGTGATTGATGGTGCGATTTAAGATCATTTGTGCAAAAGTTCGTCAATAATTTTAAAATTATCTACTTAAAAATATTTTACCTTAGAAATATCTGCACATTTCGGATAATAAACGTGTAGAGCCATGATAATAAACAAGCGGGTGTGTGTTTTCTCGGTAAATTTACAAGTAAATACGGAACGCGCAGATGAATTCTGTAACCAGAAAAAGTGAGGAGTGAGACTGCCGTGTTCATTTCTGCCCGCGGACACGTAGTTGCAGTGGTATAAATTAACATTGCTGCGGCCACGCGGCACAATCGCATATAATTCTGGAATTTTCAATTTCAAACATTCTCGTTTGTAAATCTCCATCTCGCGAGAGAAAGAAAACGGAGAATTGTTTGTAGAAATAGTTTTGCAACGTTTAGAAAATAAAGTATCTCGTAATATATATGGATTTGTTTCGCAATCTCTGTCGTATCGTATTCTGTTTTATCTGTTGGCTGTTCGTGATCATCTGTTCAACCTTTAACGTATTTACGTATCTGAAAAATTAAAGTGAAAAGCTATACTTTATTTGTGAATGCAAAAACTGTTGTCACTTTTCGATTCTCATCTTTCAAAGCGTTCAGTATCTAATTTTTCCAACGTATTCAGTATTTAATTTTCCCGATGCGTTTAACAATTTGAACAACTAAAAACGTACAAAGTTGCATCATATTACGAAATGAATAACAAACTCGTTTTTAAAAAGTGTACCATTCATTAATTCACTGCGATACATATAGAAAAGACTAAATTAAACTGACTAATTGACTTGACCTTGTTCATTGCTGAATTGCTTTATTTGTTTGAGTGTGACTAAACTCTTGTCTCGGTTTTTGGCAATTAGAGTGGCGCCGCTTGTCCATTACAATTTAGCCGGTTTTACGAGCATGTGTTTTCCTGGAAGCTCTGAGAAAAACGCTTAATAAAAGCGCGTGTACATCGCAAAAAAGCACGATCCTTTCGTCGTTGATAATTCTGCTTTACTTTCCGAGTATTAATATTATGTCAATATGTATTCAGAGAAAAATTCTCCATTCGTTAATTCACATATAATTTCTAGTTTTATTTAATTTTTAATTTTTATATAACTATTACAGGAAGCAAATTAAACAATTCTATATTTTGTCGTTAATATTACGATATTTTTTCTAATTATATCTAGATTTTTGTTAATATATGTCTGTATAAAATCATTCATTCCCGTAAATCTTCTTGCCCTTTAATTTAAGGATTAAGGATAATTCTTAGAATATTCTACAAATTTAATTATTAAAACCGATGTGCGTCTACTGTAAAAAGATTTTTAATCGATTTTTATCGCAGTCATATATTTTATCATCTATGTGTCAAGTCGCATGAGGGGTAAAATTAATCGCGACTTCGAAACACCACGAGGTCGTCGACTGTCTCACATTTCACGTGAACCAATGTTAACGCTCGATCGTTTCGACGTCCAACCAACAAGACTACGAAATTAAAACTCTCCTCGAGGTCATCCCTCTCGAAAAGTCTCGCAAATCCATTCGTAAATCCAACTGTCACCGATCGCGCTACATTACCGTGAAAAGAAGTCTGGGATAATGCTGAGCGAAGCGGTCGCGATAAATTCTTCAGGTTGTTTCGCGTCAAACCTCTTGATATAAAAATACGAAACTGCGATCTTTGCACTTTTGTCATTGCACATTCGCAAGCTGTGACGTGAAATAGAAAAATTGTAATATTTAACCCTACAACGCTGACAGCAATACTGCTGCGAATTCGAAAGCTTTTCTCGTTCGCATCGGCATTTGCTCTTTGTGACTGTGACTGAGAACAACTTTTTAAAAAAATTCTGAATAATTAACGCTAAATCATTTTCTTCTTGCTTTTACTGTCTCTCGGAATAAAAAATAATCATACTAAACGATCGAGTAGTCTATTGGGAACAAAATTTACTGTATTAAAATAAATATCGTATAAAATTATATCTGATTGAAAATAATTACGTTCTAAAATGATCCGAGAGAAATTAAAAGCGATAATATTAAAATATTATATGGAGGTTATATCAAAGTAATGCCGGCTGTCAAAGCGTAATTCGAGGTGCACTCTCCGCGTTGCAGATATATTCTCTTTATGCACACTTAATTCTTGCATTTAAAACGAAAGAAATATATCTTTGCGATATGAGGAAAAAGAGAAAATAAAAAAAATGTTTAGGAAATTATAAAGTACAGCTGAAAGAGCAAATCAATGTTATTACATAAATTTGTAATTATTTTAATGAAGAAGAACGTATTTATTTATATTCTCGTTTTTTTGTAGAAAAAACAGAAGAACGTCCGTCATCAAATACTTCAAAAAAATCCGCGCTGAATACGGGAAATAAAATTAAAAGTAAAATTCCAACCCATTTCGGGCGAAATGGCATGCAAGTACGTTAATTATTTGGCACAATACATTGCCAAAAGCTTTGTGCTTACTACTAGAAGATTATACACCCAGCAGTCTCTCATTTAATCAAAACGCGATGTATCATTCGTCAATAATTAATCTCAATTCAAAACAATTATTCGCAATAATTTACGAAATATTTTCGATATTTATTGTTCATTACCTGTCAAACGTGATTTATAATCTCTTCACAGGGCGACTCGGCGAGTCATCCAATGTACGAGGAGACTTCCAGCGGGATTAGCTCCAACAACAATTCCGCTCGTCGACCGAGCGTAAAGGCCCCGAGTATGTTGCCGTCGAGAAAGCCGACGAACGCGGTCTCAATGGAGAAACGCCACTTGGAAGTACAATTCAGTTCGAAAAGGGCGCGATACACGAATCTGAAAAAGACGCTCGTCGATAAGCAAGTAACTATATAATCAGACGACATTGACATACTTTCTCTAGAAGTACACTTCTCGTACATATAGTTACGCAATAGTAGGCAGGAATTTTGGGGTGAAGTGTTCCTTTTCAAATGTATCAGAATATAATCATAAATGTATTTCAAATGTATTAGAGATTTGGAGGGTGTAGCTCAAATACAAGGAGGATATTGAATAACATTCTTCTCCGCTGTGCATCTTCAGAAAATGGCGCAAGATCTGCATGACGAGATGTCGAGTCTGCGGGAGAGGATAATCGCGGCTGGCGGCAAGGACCCTGGCACGATCGAGGAGCTGAGATCGCCACAAGTGGAGTGTCCCAGGCAAAGCCCGCCGACGCCGGTCGAGACGAGCTCGCGGCACGACTGCGTCGGGCAGCAGGAGCCAATCTGCATGGACGAGTCGGTGGTAATCGGTGTGTCGCTGCTGCAGGATCAGCTGCGGGATCTCTGCGACCGCTCCCAAGAGATCTGCCAGCACGCCCTGGACAAGAGCTCGTCGTTCGCGTCCCTCGTCAAGTTCTGGCTGACAGAATCGAGCCGGCAGGACGAGATGGGCAACATGTTGATCGCGGCGGATTATTCGGAGGTGGAGGCGCGGCAGGCGAATTTCGCGCGGGACAATGAGGAGATGAGAACGCAGCTGGACGATTTGAGAGTGGCCCAAAAGGACTTCGTCGCCGAATTCGCGATGAGATCCTCGAGTCTGCGTAGGGAGTACGACAATTATCGCGGGCACGTGAAGGAGGAGCGGCCGAATGTCGATCGCGGGGACCTGCTGCGGGAGCAGCTGAGTGTCGCTCTGGAGGAGCTCAAGGCGGAGCGTGACAAGGCGAATCATGGGAGGGACAGGACGAGAATGATGGAGCTGCAGTTGCAAAAGACGCGGGCGAAGATTCGCGAGCTGGAGGGGCACGTGGCTAACGAGGAGGAGAAGGCGCAACAGCTGCAGAACAACGTCAAGTCGTTGGAGGCTCAGTTGAGGCAGAAGGATCAGGCAATGGAGCTCAGGATGAAAGATATGCACAAGGCGATGAAGAGCAGCGAGGGCCTCGTGGCGAAGATGGAGAAGCAGCGCGACAGCTTCGAGTCACGGTTGTCCTTTTAATCCCGCCGAATTCTCGCGGTCCCCTTTTAATCTCAATCTTCAAGAAATACAAAAGCTTAATGAAATTTTAAATAATAGATCAATAAGGAGAGCTTTTCTTAATAAAATTAGTGTTATTAAGAAGCTTTAAAAAAATCGCTTATATCTTTAGCTATAGATAATGAGATTACTTGGATAAGAGCAAGATCGATCCCTTTTTACTTTGCATTTTCTTAAAGTCGCCTGCTTTAGGATGCTGGAGCTCAAGGAAAGGATGGCTCGCAAGGAAGCGGAAGCGAATGCTACTATTAAGGAGTTATCGACAAAATTCGAAACGTTCGACACAGAGATCATCGAAGAGAGAGAAAAGAGGTGAGTATAATATCGCTTATAATTCCGCTTTTAAGAATCGTTATTGATGGTTTTTTAATAATAATATCTCCGAAGAAAAATAATTGCATAATTATCATATCATTCTATCTTTCATGTATGTGGATAATAAAAAATATATATTTTACTTTAACAGTATATATATTATTTTCTCCCGAAACTCGAGAAATTCGTAGTAGGTCTTTTTTCGCTTAATTAATTCTACTATTCAATTAATTGTTTCAGACAACAAGCTGAAAGCGCTCGAGCTGAAATGGAAGAACGTTGTAAACGCCTCGAAGAGAAGAGCCAGCTGCTCTGCGATCTCGCGAGTGAGAAAAACAACAATATAGTTGTTACAGGTAGGTAAGCTCAGCAATTTCAAAGTATCGAGAATATTTCTCATTTGCATTTTAAACGAAACATCAGCGCAAAGCGGTACATTATGTTCGCTCGTTGAAAGCTTTCATTCCGATTATCGGCCTTTAGATAATAGCCACACGGAGAACGAGGTTTGTCTGTATAATGATTTGATGGCGGCCCGGGCCGAGCTGGAGAGACAAAGAGAGAAGACCGGGCAGCTTGAGAGAGAAAAGCAAGAGATTGTCGCCGTGATGCATCAGGCGGCCGTTAGTTTGCACTACTTTCGGAACTTCCGCTCGTTTAGGAACTAAGAACCATTCGATTCGCTTCCCCTTGCTCGTTAAGACCGTGATTTTCCATCCCCGACAAGTCGTTTTCTCAAAAATTAGTTTCGATTATCTGAAACTAATCAGTTTCGATTATTCCTTTTTGTTCGCCCGCAGAGTCACGATAACGAGGACCAGACGAAGGATAGGCTGGCCGCCGAACTCGTAACCAAGACTAATGACCTTCAAAATCTGATGCTAGAGCACGCTCGGCTTCAGAAGATTGCCAGATTCACGTAAGTTTTAATTAACGTTAGAACATACATATTTTTCATACTTGAACGTATCTAAAATATCTCGAAGGCCCGATTGTATCAATGTTATTTTTTTACTTTAAGCAAGACTTGAAACTCTCTTTCTCTTAAAGTTTTAAAGAAAGATAGGCAGAATTTTAAACCTCGCTTAAGATAAAAATAACGTTAGTTCAATCGGGCCTAAGTATGGTGGAAAATTAAATATTTCTATTTCAAATATACACATAGTTTCGCAGAATAACTAGACGTAGCATATTAAGAATTAAATTGATTCTTTCTGTTCTACATGATGTAACATGTTTCGAATTCAGACTCTCAATTTCTATTACGTAGACAAGAGAGAAATGAGGTGCTGGAGAATCAGTTATCCGAGATTCAGCACCGTCTCCAGGCGAGATCGAAAGAAACTGGCAAGACCCAAGGGCTTGATGCGATGGAGCTTCAGCAGCAGATTAGCGACTTGCGGAATAGCTTGGCCGAGGCCATTCAGCAGAACCAGGAGTTAGAGACTACCCTGACACAGAAGCAGCTGGAATTGGAGCAGCGCGATCGGGTGATGCGCGAGCAGAGCAAATTCCTCAAAGTCCGGGACGAGCTGCTAAGCATCCTTAAAGGAAAGGCGAACGCGGGAAATCCTAACGAAAATTACGAGGATATCGATGAAGTAATGCGCGATAATTCCGTAAAGCTTTCTCTCTTTCTAATTTTCTCATATAATAAATTAAATCATTTTAATCCATTCTTAACCCATGAAAACTGAATTAGTAAGATATCCAATGTCTTATTGTTTGACACTATACATCATATTTCTTGATACTTGATTTTAATGATAATCATGTATCCAGATCAACAAGCAGATCGCGGCGAAGACAGAAGCGATTCAGGAATTGTATGCTACACTGGAGGGCAAACAGATGCAGGTGATGCGACTGGAGAAGCTGGTGAAGCTGCTGGAAGATCAGCAGGACCGCGCACAAGCGCAACGCACGCGACTCGAGCATCGCATCGCGCAGCTGGAAGTGAGCTTGCGGGAGAAGAGCAGAAATGACGGTAACCGGTACGTCGTGAGAAAATATCTACGCAAACCTCGGTCGAGCATCGTCAACAACGGACTGTCACGCGCTTTCTCTTGCGAGTCGAGACGAGCGTTACTAGAAGCATCCGCGCCGACGTTCCACTTTGTCGATCCGCGTTCATATGACAGATCCCCGCGGTATCGATATTTCTCGCGTCACATTCCACCCACGAAGAACTCGGATCCTCCGCCGAGAGGGTTTCATCTTAACGACTGGTATCGCATTTCTTCCGGCAAGGAAGACGCTTTCGTTTGCGAGCAATGTCGGCGGGAGGGTAACGAGAAATTCAGGGGTGATATAATCCATCACGTTGGAAATCATCGAATTCGAGAATCTCTTTACGGCTGGCTGATAAATTCCTCGGCTTTGGAAGCCTTGGGCGGACCGGCGGGTCGCTTAAGCAAATCTCACGACGAGCTCGGATCGTCTGAGGAAGACGCGGACTGCTTCCTCGTTAATCCTATTGTGGTTCGCGACAACGCGAGGAATTATAACAGGGAGTCACGTAACTGTCGCGAATAACATTATTGTCGATATCGCAGTCATCTGCCAAAACGGTCTCTTCACGACATCTCTCCACGACGATGTAATCCGATTATTCACGCGTAATGACATCTCTTATATGCATTACAATATGTGTCTATATTATAATTAATCATTTCATCCTAAGTAGACAATTGTATTAATCTAACAGAAAAATATTCCTGAAAAGTAATATGATAATTATATTATTTTAATTAATTGTATCACTTGCCACGCTAATGGTATATCTCGTGGAATCTTTTTCAAAATTTTATGATTTTGCATTAATAATTTTTTATTCGTTAATTCAATAAGTTAATAACATAGTACACATTCGCAAATACCCACTATGTTAGTAAATTAATCGTTGTCATTACAGACATATTGTAGATAAGTGGACGTTAACATACTTGAGACCGACCAAAAAAATTTTTATACAAATTTTTACTTGCATATTTTTTTATTATATCATTTTTAAAGTTTTCTACAATTTTTTTCGTCTCAAATATGTTAATTATTGGCCCGTTTTAATAGGCTAGGTACTCCCTGCTACATTGTATCGATATGAATATAACTCGACGACGGAATTTCTTACAGAGTGCCTAGCCTCGCAAAAAGACCAAATTTCAATTTTTCTACATTTCTGATAACTTATCCTTTTATGTTTTAGGAGTAGAACCTTCGGCATCCTGTAAGAAACTCTGTAATCGTCGGCCTGTAAGTATCAACCTACGACTTCTTTGGATTTAACACAAAATTGTGTATATGTCTGATATCTAATTCGCGTACCTAAAATGTCTAAATCTAAAATTTCATGTGATACATATATCGTATACTTTAAAACGAATAACGTGTTTATACAAATTACTTTTTGTAGACCCCATTTATTTTGTACAATATTTTACTCTATTGGATAAAAATATATACATGAAAAATATATTAATTTATTTCTTTCATTAATCGCTATCGCTATCGCTGCTACCCGAATAGGCACCTAATAACAAGAGACTGTTGCCGATATTATCAGATTTGGTGTCTGTATTTACCGTATTCGATGTACTCGTTGAAGTGTTAAGTGCTTTGTCCGACTGTGGAGCAGTTTCCTTATCGCAGGAAACAGCATTTTCGGTCGTGGATGTTTTATTCTGTACCGATCTAGCGTTTATTTTTATACCAATATTGCTTTTCTTCACCAAAGAAGACGAATTCTTCTTACCAGATGATAATCCCATACTTTCCGACCACAATGACGCTTTAGCGGATTTTGAAGAATTTCCAGAATTTTCCTGCAAACCAATAATCGTCAGTTTTAATGCTCTCGATTAAACTTTTCTTATAACAAATAACAAAATTGATTAAATATAAGATTAAAATCTCACTGTTTCTTTGCCATCTGCTTCGTCTGTCTTAAGTACTTTTTTAGGAGGTTGATCTCTCTTCCCTTCTTCTCCTCCAACCAACTCCTCAATTTCTTCCTCCACAACAGTCCCGGTCAATTGTCTCTTGCCAAATACAGATTTAACGTACTGCTCGTCCAACTCTTCCTGTTCCTTCTCCGTCCTCTGCCTGGCAGCTTCGGTGTCGTATTGCTCCAACATCTGATCGTAATCTATGGTCTGCTGCCTTCGATTTAGATCCTTCAACTCCTCCAGAGATTCCAACAACTCCAGTTCTTGCTTCGACTGGAGCGTCCTCTTTTCCAGGAGCTTCATCGGATTGGTGGCCTCCTCCTCTTTCTCCTCGTCCTCCTCCCTCTGCGCCTGCTCCTCGGCCAGCTTCAACGCCATGAAATTTCTCGTGGCGCCCGCCTCGATCTCGTAATCCGTGTTCTTCGGATCGGTCTTGAAGGATATCTCTTGCAGGCAGCGGGTGCACTTAATGTAAAACCTGTAAATGCGTATGCCCAGGTAATCGTCGCCCTCGACGTCCTCCTTACGCGCATTAAATTTCTTGCCCTTGTAGATATATTCACCGCATGTCTTACACCGCATGTTGAACGGTGCCATCAGTCGCACGGTGTACTGGCGATTTCTCGCCAGTTTCATGCGCGGAATCTTCGACGGATCGAAATCCGGCGGGTAGTATTTCTAAAAGAAAAAAAAAATACGGAAAAGAGGTTAGAGGCAAAAGTTGTCAAAGCGTTACAGGTAAACGCGGATATACGCCGTGAAAAATGCCTATTCGCCTCGTACTTACGTTCAAAACTTTGCGCTCCGACATCTTGCGGCTCTAGCTCTCTTCGTGCGTGGACTGAAATTTATATCTTCAAGATAATTTGTAGGCAGCGAGACTGACGACGAGCGAAACACTCCGCGGACGTTGGAGGTTAGGTCGGAGGACACAAGTCGAGCGGCGTCGCGTCGCTCCGATCGCTCGACTGCGTGCAGCATTGCCAACCGCACCGCACCGCCAGCCAATCACGGTTCGCCGCGGCCGCGACAATCGATTTCTCGGCAACTTGCGATTCTCGAAGCGCTCGAGGCAGCGATAGTGAACAACATTCAGCTCGAAACAGGTTGTTAATGCGTCGCAGTTTACGTTTCGCACGGTCGCGATGATTTGAGGCTGCGGGAGGGGGACGCGATGCCGCGGGAGCTTCGACGGTGAGCAAAATCTACCGCTCGCGGTCGCGAAATGTCGACTTTCGCGAAAATCAAGATGTAATTATATATGCATTCTTTTTATTTACTTTAAACAGGGGCTCGTCCGGTGTCGGAGGTGAGGCGAGAGTTGCAGCAGCTCAAGTGGCGGAGAAAAGTGGTGAGTCAATAGCGCGTTCTCGTAATTGGGGGTATCTCCGGCAACGCGTCAGTCTCTATAGCATATCTGTGTAATACGACGAATTGACTTCATTAGGCTATAAAGGCGTTCCGCGTTCGCAATCGAGCTTGCGTTCCGCCGCTATAGAACTTGTGCGAGAGCAAGATGACGGCAGAGATCGAACAGATCCCTCGAGCGCAACAATGGCTAATATTAATGACCGAATTATTTTCGCTGCATTTTCTGTGTTTTTTTCAAAGAGAATCGGAATGTCACTCTGCTGTGTCCGACACTGCGACTTCATTTCGGTCTGACTTTTCCTTTCGCCGCGAGAAGGAAAGGACGATATTAACGAGAGATGCATTTAAATTCGAGAAAATAAAAAGACGTAGATAATAGAAATGAAAATGGAAAAGGTCAACTCCCTCTCGCTTTCTCTCGCCTCGGAAATTTGCGCGGAAACGGATGAAGGATATCGTTGAAGAGACCTTCCGATATCTCGCCTTTTCTACAAAGTCGCAATTACTCCGGTCATTATCATTAATCCCGCGGTAATGAATTGATACTCAATAAGTCCGAGAAATGCCCGTTTCACTGCTGATATTCTTCAAGATCATTTCGGATATTTCTTTGCCACTCTTTATGAAATAGATTTAATATTAGATATATTATTAAATTTAATTACAATAATTGAAAAAATTAATTAATATAATAATAATTATTAGATTATTAATTACAATAATAACTAATGTAATTATAGAGTTAATAATTTATCCTGCGGACGTTTGACTGAATGATGAAAGAAACAGCCCTGAAAGCGTCTGCGGTGGGTTTCGAAGAACAGGATTCAATTCGGCGTCGTGTGCGCGGATCTCTATGGACGAGGGTTATTCAGTGAGGTGCGAAGTCCCTCGAACAGATCGACTCGGGTCGGCCGATCGCACCCAGAACCGGCAAACGCGAGCTTTGTGCCACGGCGAGGCATTGTGCCTGGAAAACGTCGCGACCGGCTTTCGCGGAATTAGAAGAATACGCTCGCACGAACGCGCAGTACGTCTCGAGCGCATTCCTCTAGAATTTGCTAGTAAACTCGATCTCATTGTTCGGAATCCGACCCCGAGCCGCTCTGAGTGAGAGACTTGCTGCCGATCGACCGACTGTGCATTTTTTTTCCACGATTCTGGCATCCGATAGTTTTCCAACTCGTGAGAACAGAAATATAGCCAGGTTTCCATGACATTCGTCTCGCTAAAGAGAAAATTTATATTTGTAAAAGTAATTATTGAACACACACGTGATTTTTGCACCGATACGGCCTTTGAACTTACAAAGTCTTGCTAAATATTAATTAAACGAGAAATTTAAAGGGATTTGCCAAAGTGCCCAAAATTTAAAGTCCCGACTAAGTCTAGTTCTAATAATGCAGCGAGAAAATTTAATAACATTTCTCTTTATCAAACAAATCAATCCCCAAAAATATTCCGAAGGGCCTTTTCGCCTCAAGCTTCATTTTCTCGTTTTCTCTCATGCATATTAGAATCGCTTTCTCATTTTTAAAATTCGTTTCTCTTCTCTTTCAAACGCGATTTCACGGCGATAAATCCGACAGTACGCTTAAAAGCACCCCGCTTAAAAGCACTCGTAATCCATGGTCGGCAAAACACGAACAGTATGTTCCTCATCCGGTCGAACCTACCGCGTCGGGGATTCTTGGTCATTGGATACCTTTGGTTATCCCTACGGCGGCGCGGCGGCGCGGCGTCTCACGGACGGTGGTGCATCGTGTCCACCCCCCGAGAAACGCAGCCCGCCGAACGAGCGCGTCGAACAGAACTGGATGGGAACGCGAGTGAGAGAAAGCGACGCGCGGAGAGAAAGAAGCGGGAAAGGAGAGAACGATCCCGCTCGCGGAGGGCGCATGAAAATATTTCTCGGAATGCCGAAAACCGAAACACGAGCCGGGGCCGCCGAAGCCTCTCTCTTCCTCCTCCTTTTCGTCCTCGAGAAAGGGACGTCGGCGGGCCTCTGTGTGACATCGGAGATCGCCGTCATTTCGCGCTGACCGCGCCTCTCGCTTCTGCTCTCCTCTCCGCCACCCACTTCCTCCGTTCGTTCTCTCCTCCCTTTTATCCGCCGTTTGCTCATTCTCGCGCGCGCACGCGGATATCTGTATATAACCGAGCGCGAATCGCTGTATTTCGCACGTGTACGTGGATGGCGTGATGCGGTACGATTCTTTTTCAAGAACAGCGACGCGTGTGTTTCCTTTATCGCATCGGCTCAATCGGCTGGAAAAATAAATTTCGCGATCGATATTATCGATATTCAATCGCCATACCCAGCTTCGACTGTGGCGCTGTAAATTTCTTGGGAACCTGTCGGAATTTCAGGTTCATTTGTCCGTCCTTTGAGATCAGCGAGCACTTTGGGGGGTATTGTCGGCGCGGCATCGCTCCGAAAATCCGTGTATTCTTAGAGAATCTTAGAGAAAAACGTTGCACTTCAGTCAGCTTCTTCTTCATGCCTACCTGAACATTCCCACAGGTTGAGGATTTCTAGTTGAATGGCGGGAGTATTGAGACAGTGACCTGGTCCATGGGTAAATATATTCAAGGCTTTCGAAGAATTGTCGTCTCTACACACTTCACGGCGTGTCCGGAACGGGTCGTGTACACCGTGTAAGAATAATCCTCCACGAGCGAATGGCTCTCATCACTTGTCGCGACATCATTAGCTGTTTTTAATTAAATCTCACATTACACGTAACATCGGATTCGATCGTGGTGGATTTGCGGCGAGTAAACAAAAGATCCGTAAAATCCATTAAAGATATTATTCACCCTGCAGTAGCGATATAATCAACGAGGAGACGAAAGAGCGCGTAATTTATATCTAAAAGTTTCAAAGCTTCCGCGAAGAACTTAAAGAGGAGGCTCGAAAGACTGGTATTTAAACGGCCATTATTGTTCTTGCACCTGGAAGAACGTACGAAGAACCGGTCTACAAATATCCGTCCGATTGCGCCGCGGTCGAATGAATTAGACTTTACGGGTCTTTAAATTGCCGCCGTCATTTTTAAAGACCGCTCGGTCGTATCTGTGGCCGTAATTGTATACGGCGCGCGACCCATTTCCCTCCCGCGTATATAATGTAGGTATACGCGTACGCGCACTATCGCCCGTCTTACGATCGTTGGTCATCGCGCATGATACAACACACCAGTCGTCGTACGGTCGTAACACGAGATACGCCCGTACTCGGGCCTTACCTGCCCTGCTGTGTGCGATAAAGGTAGCACGTCGCCGGGCGATAAGGCGCCTTCCACGGTCTGGCACTCCTACAGCCAGGTGACAATCACCCGTTGCGCAGCGGGGTATATCATAGTTTTTGCGCCTCCGAGCGCCGCGAGTACGAGGACCGATAGCGCTATTTGTCGTGCCCAACCGGCGAGAAGGAAGCAGGCCGCCTATATGAAACCGTCGAGAGCGTGAGAAACCGTTCGTGCTGACGGCTACCATAGGTATACAAAGTTCAGATGAGCCGAAAGGAAAAATCGCAAATATCCTTCTGTGTATTTTTCTTATCCCTATCAGTTCTGAATGTAGAAATATCAATTGGAGTATACATTACGAATGGAGTATATCACGAATAGTGATGTAGGGAGTAGTCTTTTTTTTTTGTTTCTTTGCATAGAGGGAGGAACGGTTCAGTTTTTAATAAAATAATGCAGGATATCACGAATCGAAATATCGATAATGAACTTGCTCGAAAATATGAGCAATGTGATTAGCAACACTTATAATTGTTAGCTTAGACTGCCACCGCGAAGTGTGTGACGAAACGTTAGCGCCGAGGCGAAATGTATTCTCTCCTTCGGCAAATCGATCTTGGAAAAGTACATCTCTCGGGCACCGAAACGCACCAGCTCTCGATCGGGCTTCGCGCGAGGCTTCGAGGATCGACGTGTATTCGGTTACCGCGCCTCGTCTGTGAAATCCTGTTTGATCCCACGGTCCGGCTGGAGGGAAGAAGGCCTCCCCGATTCGTACGTGATAAACGAAAAAACTTGCCGCGTAACTGCAGCACCTATACGTGACACCCTGCTAAAGAGATTATCGGATTCCTCTCCCGGCTCTCCTGCTCATCGCCTTCGCTCTCTCTGCCCCAAAGCATCAAAATACCGGCGAAATGAATGGATATCACTGCCGTGGACCCGAACTTCGCATAAGCGGTCGCGTTGAGAAGTTCGACATGCGATCGAGGGAAGTCTGAGAAATACCGCAGCGAGGAATAAAGGGACGGAAATAACGAAAGTGGTCCGGACCGTATCTGGGCGCTTCTTCGGATGTTCGCATGCATTCCGAATTTACAAAAGGAAAATATTCGGTATTTGAACGCATAAAGGATTTTTTAACACCTTCTGCAAAACTATTATAATGTTAAATCGAGATTAATAGAGGACACCCCTGAAAAGAAATATCAATGCTTAAAACCGGTATTTTAAATGTTAAAATAGAAACTATTAGACAGGTTCATTGTAAAGATTTTCTAATACGCGTCAATTATCGGAAATATACATCGATGAAGTATTAGTATCTATTATTTAGGTAC